CTGTAAGAAAATTAGATTCATTTAGATAAAAGAGGATTTCAGATATATATTACAATATTTTTATCCTTTTTCTTATTCTCTACAATCAAGCACAATAAAAAAGGTTGTAGCTGTAATATTAAAAATAGTAATAATTCAAAGAACTTGATTGAATGTCCTGATTGGCTGAAATCATGTCTTACATTTGTTCAGATTTTTACCTGTTATGTGTTTTTATTTTCAATCTCTGCTCATCAAAAACTCATATTTAAGCTGCGATAAACGAAGCAGAAGCTAAAGAACCAAATCTACAGTAAACAAGCAGAGAAAACGTCTTTGTAGAGGAAGAATCCTGATATTTATTTGTTTTCCAGGTGAAACTGGACCCATGGACCGACTGCCGACCTTTACGATGATTCCTGACATCAGTCCTGGAAATCTGAAATTATTTCTCACTTTTTGATGCTTCATCATCTCATATATTGAGAGGAAATTGATTTTTAGTGCAGTTAATGTGGGGACTGGGTGAAAGTCAACCTGAGCTTAATCCTGAAATGTCATAGTTTTGATTTAATTAGCTGAAGGGAAGCATTTGATTAATGAAACTGAATTGCCTTCTTTAAAATAAAATACAGATATGAATCTTTTTTCTTTCACTTTTCTAGCAATAAAAATACAACAAAAAAAATAAAATGTGGTATAAAAATGTTGTTTTTCATCTTTTCTTTCGACTAAACTGGTCTGATGTTGTTGATTTTTCTTGATCTAGATTACAGATCAACAAACACAACAGGTGCATATTTAACCTGTAATTTATACAATAAGGTTCTTCAGTGAAATTCACCTTAATGTCTGAAAAGTTGTACTAAATGTTTTCAGTTTTTGAAATCTGTTTGTGGATTACCAGGCACATCTACAAATACTCAGCTATGTTTTAACAAATAACATTTATTTATAAACACACACTTAATAAATGATGTAATGCACATCTGTGACCAGTAGGAGTCCAAATTCTCCCTTCAGCATCAGATATGTAATTATAATGGCAATGAAAACAGCTGCAGCCTGATTTCACATTTTTACACTGTCAAACAGTCAAGTTATTATTACCACCATATAAATATAATATGTGCTTCATTTTAATAAACCTAATGATCCATTATGAATATCAGAATATAGAGAAATACATATAGTAGGGATTGATTATGTGCTATTAAGATGAGTTTAGAGCACAGGTGACCTGCAGTGTTTAGATGAGCCACAGGTACAAAACACTGGAATGAAATCACCATAATTACCTCCTCCTTGTGTGGATCAGATAATTATGACCTAATTACTCTTATCAGGTGGTGCAGCAGAGGCTCAGCTAAAGGTTGCAGGTCATCGACCCTCCAGAGTTTGACTCTCCTGGTTTAGAAGTTTAGATTCCTGCTGTTTCTTTGCAGTTGGTTTCACAAGTTCAGTTTTTAACTCTGTGTTTGGACTGGAAACTTTCAACTCTACCAACAACGGCGAATGGCACCATTTTTTGTTATTAATGAGCGTCATGCTAGATAGAAATATGAAGCAACTGTTTCTAATTGTGTGAACAACCAAACAGATTGTATGGAGTCATTAATTCTGGCAGTTGCTCCTTCTGACCAGCAGAGGGCGACAGTTAAAAACTTGTGTTGAGTTGTTGACTGTACAGCAGTCCCTCATGCAGAGTATGCATGGAGTGACAGTGGAGAAGAAGAACTCTCTTCTAACAGGACGAAGCCTCCAGCAGAACCAGAACCGGGCTCAGTACCAGCAGCCATCTGCCACGATGGACTGGAGCTGAAAGAGCACCAGAGACACGACGGGTCGACTGATCAGGAGAACTTTCTGTGTTTGTGGAAGTGAAAAGGAGAGGGAGAACGGTTAGACGATGGCAGCATCATGTCAGCCAATCCCCGCCTCCAGGAAGCAACCGCAGCCAATCAGAACACCGGGTCAGATCAGGTGTAGCGTCTACAGAGAGAAAAATAACTGAGGACGAAAAGTTTAGTTTCTAATTAAACAAGAACTAAACTTCTAGTTTAGTTATTGACACCAGAGCGCCACCTTCTGGCCTCTCCAGATCAGTTCAGGTCAGAGAATGGAACCGTTTCTGGTTTTGTTTTTCCCCTCTGTGGGCTGCCACCTCATCGTGGTGGAGGGTTTGAGTGTCCCAGTGACCCGGCTGTCAGAGGCTTCATGCCTCTATTTGGGTCGGGTCTGCCGGGGCAAACGGGTCCTAGGTGAGGGATGAGACAAAGAGTGGCCCAAAGACACTGCTACTGTTACCACCTTTGACCTTGAACAATTTCCATTTGCCTGATTGTTTCTGTTGCTACCAAAACCTGATTGAGTAAAGTCTTCAGTCTGGTGCTTTGTAAACTTCATTTTTCATTTTATTTTGTAGTTTCTGTTTATTTATTTAGGATATTTTAATGCCTTACAGTTCCAGTGTTAAATGTTCTCCATTCAGCTGCTTCCTTCTTTTCAGTTGGGTTTTTATTTTCCATCACAACATAATAAATGTTGATGAACATAATTTATCTGAGTTCCTGTTTCCTCTTTCTGTTTGTCTGAGTATTGGGAGAGTTTCATCAGGCGTCAGACTCCGGTACCGTCAGTACTGAGCCGAACGGGTCGCTGGACCTGCTCATCTGAGGCGCCATTGATCAGACGGCCTGAAACTGGCCTCACACTCTGAGTTTGAGTCGCCAGTGATGTCACACTGAGCCGATGGAGGCCGGAAGAGACGGAGCTAGCTCCTCCTGCTGGGCAGGTCTGAGAGACAAAAACGAGGATTTAACTATACCGTTCTGACGAGAAGCTGCTTTCAGACCCACATGAACTCCATTCATCCATTCCTGGGAATTTTATGACCGTTTTCATTTCTTCACAGGGAGGTTCTCACAATCTGTTAAAATAAAAATAAAACCAGAAAATCCTTGGAGTTTGAATGTGGGGACTGGAGTGCACAGTCAGCAACTTATCCAACAAGAACATCATTTAAAATTAAAGTTTCATTTTTGTGGTTTGACTCCTGAATTTTTTAAACCTGCTTAACTGAAACTGAATGTCATTCAGCTGTGAAGAGAAGTATAACTCTGAAAAAGTTATGTTCATTTCCTATTCTAATTTAACATTTTGTGAATTTTGCCATCATGGGTCCTCCATAGAAAAGCTGAAGATGATATTTGTGGTCAGTAGTTTCACAGCAACCACTGGTGTGAAAGATTGAAGACAAATTATTTACTTTTACTGCCTAACATATCAAACATTTTCTAAAGTTAAGTAGATATTTTATGAAAAATAAGTTTTGTTTTTCTTTTTGCTTGCGTTGGCATTTATCTGACACATAACAGTTTTATGGCTTCATTTAATCGGACAACTTCTTGATAATGTCATATTGTCTCGTTAGCAGTGAGTCATGAAAGCAAAACTTAAAGCTGTCAGACAGGAAATGGACTCTGATGATGATCAGCCCCATAATTAACTAGTTATGTGGTTTAAATGTACATATTAAATGTCTGAATACCGTTCTGATCAGTCAGAAGCAGATCGGTTTAAAGATTCTCACGTTTGAGAGCAAAAAAAAAAAAAAATCTACGTCAAATAAAATGGACTAAATAATTCAATAACTTACAGTTTTTGACTGGTAATTTACTTAGCAACTTTATTTCTGAAATGTTTGCAGATTCAGATGCACGGCGCTCTGCAGTTGCAGTTTTAGATTCACTTTAGGATGAACTGGCCTGTCATTATTAAAAGGATTTAAGCAATTAGACAGTTTTTTTCTATACAATTGCTGCACTTATAACTTTAAATTTGAATGAATAGGATCACCAGAGTAAAATGCAAATGATGTGGCATAAAGTTTATCCAAGTTGCAAAAATGCATCACATTTTTTGATAATTATTAGCTTAAAAGACTCAAAAACAGCAGCCATCTTGAAATTTCAGTGTCTAATGGGAAATATGGGAAAAAAGGGGCGACACATGTCCGGAGGGGCAAGAATGCAAATTTTTATGCTTGTTTCCACATTTGAAATATTTCACAGCAACATCTGCAGCACAATTTTCATAACTTCTTTGAACTGTCAGTCATTTCTGCAGAAACGTCCGACTCTTCTCTCCTTGTAAGACGAGACTTCATGCCAAAGACTCAAGTTTACAGGTTTTCAGTGGACATGCTAAGTTACAGATTTAAATTACCACTCATAGAAATTCTGCTCTCTGAAACATTGATACTGTTTTTTACAAGCCGGTGTGAGTCACGAGGATCAGTGAATATCCGGTTATGACAGATTTTCTGATGGGAAAACAGACAGATGGACGTTCACAGGTTAGTTTGACCCACTTTAACCAACATCTTCTGCAAAACATCATTCACAATCTGAAAAAAAGAAATAATAATAGAAATACTAAACACAGCAAGTGGGACAACAGTGAGCTGATATACAAAAATAAATTAAAAGTATTTTTTTTTCTGCAAACTCCTAAAAGAAAATGGTGCAAAGACTTTGATAGTCATTATCTGTATGGTAATGTCCAGTTTTATCTAATGTTAGCTTTAAATTTGTGTATTTCTATGTATAGATACATAATGGCACCATGTATCTGTCATAGATCAGATAATAAAATATTCCACCTGTTGGATGTTTTTTTAATAAATTCTTCTTTTTTGAAAAATTTGCACTTTCTCTCTCATTCTGTCCAAAATTTAAAACATTTTTGCCAAAAAGCGTGTGAATGTGATGTTTGACGATTTAAAGGAACCGATTAAACACGGTAATAACTTGCATTTCTGTGTGTCTTTGAACGTCACGCGATATTGTTCATGTATAGGTGTTTCCAGGGGTCTGTTGTTGTAATAAGATGCTAAGGAGGCTTTCAGGGAGAGATTGTCATCAGGAAGTGTCATCTTTCCTGCACCGCTTTCTTTATTTCAGGGTGTGGACGGCACTGAGGATGGATATAAAAAGACACAGAAACGCACCGAGGGACAGAGCAGAGACGACGCGTCTGGAGAGCCGCCATCGCTGTCATCCTTCACTGCAGCTGGAAAGAGTAACTTAAATCTTTAAATTTCTTTTACAATTAAAAAACAGATTTTAGCAGAGAAGAAGTGAATTGTGCTGAAAAACTTTTGTTTGTTTCCAGGAGGACGAGGAGCAACGTTTTGACCCACAGCTCAGGTCAGTTTCACACAGAAAATGTATTTACTCAGGATCAGAACTGCAGACCTGCAGCTTTTAGTTGCATCTTTACTCCAACCAGACCAGGATCGGCTCTGATCAGACCAGGATCGGCTCTGATCAGACCAGGATCGGCTCTGATCAGACCAGGATCGGCTCTGATCAGACCAGGATCAGGATCGGCTCTGATCAGACCAGGATCGGGATCAGCTCTGATCAGACCTGGATCGGCTCTGATCAGACCTGGATCGGCTCTGATCAGACCTGGATCGGCTCTGATCAGACCAGGATCGGCTCTGATCAGACCTGGATCGGCTCTGATCAGACCTGGATCGGCTCTGATCAGACCTGGATTGGCTCTGATCAGACCAGGATCAGGATCGGCTCTGATCAGACCAGGATCGGGATCAGCTCTGATCAGACCAGGATCAGGATCGGCTCTGATCAGACCAGGATCAGCTCTGATCAGACCAGGATCAGGATCGGCTCTGATCAGACCAGGATCAGCGCTGATCAGAGCTGATAACGATTATCAGGTGTGTTGGAGCAGGAAGCATCTGAAACGTAGCATCCAGCACTGCACTGATTTACAGAATCGTTTTATGTGTTGCACGGATTTAGCAAAAGAAGAATATGAGCTAAAGGTTACATGACATCTACAGACAGAACCATGTGACCCAGACTCTGATTTTTATTTTATTTCCTGAAGGTAAAACAAAGCAACTGAACCTTCTTCTTACTTTTAGCTTTGTCAGCTGTTTCTCCACTTTCCAAGATGCTCCGCCCCCTGCTGTTCCTGTGCACCATCATGGCACTGACAGGTAAATCAGACCTCAATGTTTACAATATTGCAGTTTATAAGTTCTGTGTGGAAAATAACCAATAAAACATTTAATCACGGAAAAATATTCAAACATTTTAGATCCCTACAGTTAAACCAATTCTTTAAAAAAAAAAAAAAAGATCTTTAGAGTTATGTGAAATAAATTAAAATTTACATTGAAAATTTAGATTGAACTTTTTATAGAATTGAAATCCTAAATGATAATGACATTTTTATGAAGGAGCTGCATGGTGGTGGTTTTGTTTAGTTGCACGTTTTTCTGCACAGCAAATAGTTTTGCATTGAAAAACTCATTTAAAGTCGTTTATTTAGCTTCTCTGCCCAAACAAATCGTCCATACATACAGAAATAGAAATAACTAGATGTACAAATGGCCTTTCATAAAGTAAACTTTAACTTTTCTTTGCTCTCCGGCTACGTTTTGTGTCTCCATACCTGCAGGTGCTGCTGAAGTCGACATCTGCACTGTGACCGGCCCCGCCGTCATCGACTTTCAAGGCCGATTCGCTCCTGTGACGGATCGGTGTGTGTACTCCATGCTCTCAGATCCATCAGCGGGCTTGGAAGTGTTTGCCACCTTCAGGGAGCGCCGTCGCAGAGACGTGAGCTTTCTGGACAGCGTCACCCTGAAGCTGCAGGATCCAGCTGTTCAGTTTCACCTGGAGCAGGGAGGGAGAGTCCAGGTGAGCCAACCTGACAACAGCTGTGTTTGCATTGCAAACGTCTCCAAAACTTCAATATTTTGCTAATGTTTTGCTTCCATTTGTTAAGAAACGCAGGTAAAATCACACATTTGTTCATGCGATTAGTCATAAAGTCACTTCCTGTCGTCTTCTTTGTGGTTTGCACCAGCAGCAACATCCAGTTGTTGATCTGATGCAAAACAAACTAATTTCAATATGGCCAAAAAAGATCCACCAAAACTTTATCAGTTTTTTGAAATTGGTGTTTCTATTAAGCAGATTTATTCTTGAAATGTCAAATTGCTGTAAACTCAGATTGTGATGATTGATTTGTCGTTACCACCAACGTTTCTGTTCTCGGCTGCAGGTGAACGACACGCAGCTGAACCTCAGCAGCTCAGGCCAGAAGCTTCACAGCGTTTGGATTTCCAAAGACAAAACCGGAGTCATGGCGAACGTCACAACCTCCAACCACACAGTTTATTTGTTCTTTGACGGCTCCACAGCACAGATCCACGTAGAAAGTGAGATTAGGATGACAAGTTTTGCATTTCAGCAGAAGAGAGAGAAACTATCTGACCCGCGTTCTGTCCTGCATGTTTTCAGCTCCAGTTTGGTCGTCTGCTGCTGGTCTGTGTGCAAACGCCAGCAGTATCTCGACCCAGAGGCTGAATCACTACAGCTCCTCCAGGTAGATGCTCAACAAACACTTTTTTTTTTTTTTTTTTTGAGAAACATTTCAGAAATTTTCTGGAAAAGAAGAAAGAGTGGGGAATATGGCAGACAAACCTCAGACATTTTGACAATAACCTCAGACATAGAGCAGAAAAATGTCTGAGTTTCAGGAGTAAAAGATTTTTGAAACAAGAAGATTTCATGTTTTTTCTAGTCAATTTGAAATTAATATTAATTTCTGAACTTTTTGGTGGAAATTTACACTTTTTTTCTCCTATGCATAATCCTCCTAATACACCATCGTGGAGGTAGTATTACTCTTACTTTAGTAAAACCTTTGGGTTGTTACTCATATCTGCCCAAATGTCATAAATTTGTTCAAGGACAAGTCAAAGAAAGAAAAGCATATTTTATAATCATGTGGTTTGTCTCCCCCTAGCTGTCAAATTCAGTACAACGACTCTATTGACACTTCAATCAACTGCAGCGTGATAACAGACCAGTGAGTAGATTTAATCACACTAAAGAAAATATTTACATGTGTTTCTTTACAGTTTATTTTATTAAAACAAAATTAGACAAATCTAATGCATTTTTAATCCTTCATTTTCTTCCGTCTGATGAGAAGCTGCAACATCCTGAAGGAATCTCCCTTCTCCACTTGTAACCCTGACGTTGCCCCGACTCCCTACATCAACGCCTGCAGTGACACTTTGTGCAAATATCCCTCAGTGGACGGTGTGAGGTGTCACTTCCTGTGGGCGTACGCCAGAGCCTGCAGCCTGAACAGCAGAGCCTCACTGGGAGCCTGGAGACCTGCTGACTGCTGTAAGAACTCATCCACTTTGTATAAAACTTTCATGTATTTATGCTGATTTTCCACCATGTTTCTCTGCAGCCTCAGCTGAAGCTTTTTGCCAGGATAAAGTTTGCAGCGATCATGAGTTTTGTGGAGAGACGTTCAGTGGGGGAACCGGCTGCCTCTGCAGAGCCGTGTTTGCCCACGACTACAGACAGTCAAACACTCTGAGTGAGACAGCTGTCGTCCACAGTAAGACTGAATCACTGCAAGATGAAAACCATGAAACTCATTTTCCTTTTGCAATTCAACTTTTAGGTGAGCCAACAGTCTGCAGGCAGAACTCTGGTTCAATCACTCTGATCGGATGCCTGCTGGAGGAAAAAGGCATCGACTTCTCTACTTTACATCTGAACAACCGGAGCTGCAGGGGCGAGATGGACGAGCAGAACCACATGGTGACCTTCAGCTTCGACAGCAGCAACACCTGCGGGACGGAGATCACAGTGGGTTCATCGCTCCACCTCCACCGCAAAAACACTAAATATTAACAAGCACTTTGGTTCAGTTTCTGGTGCAAATATTCTATCACACTGGAATTAAAACGACTAACTTATTAGCAAGATATAGAAGCTTGTTTTAAGTAAATTATTTCTTTAATATTGATGAAAAAGTTCTAGTTCCACTGCCAGTTTATTTCACTTATAACTTGGGAAAAAAGTTAATCTAGAACTTGTTCAGCAATAATAGTGAATTGACTTAAAACAAGCTGAAAAATCATTTTTGTCTTATTTTAAGTGTAATAAAATATTTTCGACCGAAAATATTTGGTGAGGTTTTGAACCCACGCGTTCCCACAGGATAACGAAGATGAGGTCTCATTTTTGTACTTTACCTGCAGAATAATGGAAGCCAAATCACCTACAAGAACACCATCAGGTACCAGAACAGCTCTGACGTCATCACCCGCCAGGACCAGTTCTACATCGACTTCTCCTGCCAGCACAGCCAACCCCAAACGAAGGTTGTTGCCTTCAACATCAAGGACAGGTGTGAGCTGCCATCCGTCTCTTCCAGTGGGAAGCTTGTCGAGGCCTTGAGTCTGAATTATATTACTGTAAAAATCTGTCAGGTTTTGAGACAAGCAGGAAAAAATTGCCCTTTCGCCGCTTCAGTATCAGGATGAAGTCTATTTTTCAAGATGGCCGCTGGTTTTGAGCCTTTTAAACAATGTGTTACCTGTTTGCATGAGGAGATCAGAATGTGTGTGTTTCACTTTGGTCGTCCTATTTATACAGCTTTAAAGTATTAATATGTAGCAACGTCAGAAACTGGGGAGTTTTCTGTTTCCAGTCGTCAACTGGAAGGAGATGAAGATGTGAGATGCAGATTCTCAGTGGTTAGCGTTAGCTTCTGCTAATTTTTAAAATCTGTTAAGCATTTCAGTGTTAGCGTCTGCTCCATTCTGTATGTCTTTAGCAATTTAGCGTTAGCTTCTGTTATTTTTTGTACTTGTTTAGCAATAGTTTCATATATTTATCCATTTAATGTTTGTTTCTGTTAATATTTGTTTCTCTTTAGTGGTTTTTAGTGTTAGCTTCTGCTACATTTTTATCTATTTAGCGGATTAGTGTTAGCTTCTGCTAAATTTTGCACTTGCTTCATGTTATAGCGTTAGCTTCTGCTAATTATTATTTATACATTCAGTGGTTTCATATGTTGGTTAGTTGTGACCGTCAATGGCAACAATTATTGCTGATTTTAGTACCAACTATTCTCTGTTACAATCATGGCGGCCATCTTGGAAAATCATAATAATTATCAGTAAATGTGATTTTTTTTTGTGTGTGAATCCAATTATGTGTGATCAGACGCAAAAGTATTTTATCTGGATAAATGTTGACAAATTTAGTGCAGAACAAATTTAGTGCCAAGTTACATTCCAGTGAAAGGTTCTGCTGCCATGTTGCGCTAACGGCGCCGTCGGCGTTTCTGCGTCCGAAGCTCTGTGGTCGTCATCGTGAAGTCTGGAGAGTGGAATTACTCCGTGGCCATGAAGGCCTACACCGACCCGGGCCTCACACACGCTGTGGACTCAACCGTCGGCGTGGTTCTCAACCAGAAGATCTGGGTGGAGCTGACCACCACCGGACTGGACGCAGACGTGATCGCTGTGGAGACGGAGTCATGCTGGGCGACCAGTCGAGATTCTCCCAGCAGCCAGCCGAGATACGACCTGATCAAGAACGGGTGAGCTGATGTTCCCAGCTACTTAAGAAAGAAAACCAGAAACGTATTTTTGAGTGTAAAAATGTTTCCTCTTGTTCTGCAGCTGTGCCGACCCCGGCGACCAGACGGTGCAGGTGGAAGGAAACGGAGAAGGAACCTCCAACCACTTCTCCTTCAACATGTTCCAGTTCACTGGGAGCTCTGGGGACGTTTACCTGCACTGCAAGCTGCAGCTGTGTGTCAAACAGGGGAACCGCTGCGTTCCGGTACGCCTGTGTATTCACAGTGATCTCTGAGGATCTGAATAATTATTTTATATTTTTGCTGCTGTGGTTGCATCCTTAGAAGTTCTATAAAATAAATAATCCTCTCCATCTTTAATGAACCTCCCAGGACTGCAGTGGCGGCTCCAACAGGCGACGCAGATCCACCGGGTTCGGACGTGCAGCCGTCATCAGCCTGGCCTGGACTCAGTAGGTGAGACTGTTTATTTCAACGTTTAACAGTTTAATAACTATCAGCTGTCCGTTTCAAGAATAATGGTCACATCTCTTCAAGATGATTTCAGTGAATTGCAGCAGCCATGTATATAATTGGTTTTAAATACTTTGAGTGAAACAATGTTATGAATGACCAAAACTCTGCAAACCAGAAATTAGAGCTAAAACTTATCCAAGAAACAACTAAAGGGTAAAAATGAACTTCAGGAACAGAAAACATCACAACTTCATCTTAACGTTCCTCCAGATGGTTTCCACAGCGACTCGGATGGATTACAGATTATCGTAATCTGAATCCTGAACATGGAGATAAATCACTGCTGAAATCTTTTGTCTTGTTTCTTCACAGTTTGAAGGAGGAATGTTTTAGTTACAGACGTGAAGAAGAAGAAGAAAAACTGGACTAAACTGTTCCAACATTTTTAATTTTATTGAGTTTGGGGGAAATGATGTGGGTTACATCTTCTTTAATAAAACCTATAAATGTAATCAGATATCCTGAAGTTTATAATCTAAATGAATAATTTCCTTAACAAATGTTCATTTATGTTTTATCATTTGAGATTTCAATGATTTTTTCAGCTAATAAGAGTCAACAATATAATTAACTTTGTGTAAAAGAAGATGAATAAAAAACTGATGAGATTATTTTTATGGTCAGTCTGTGAAGCTGTAATATCTCAGGCTTTTGATGGTTTCATGTTATTGTTGTTTTCAGGGAACTTTTCTTTACATATCAGTGATTATGTTCTTTTTTTCACCAACTCTTATACAAGCATATAAAAGACAAAAAAACTGTGTGAATAAATGATGTGGGTTTAAAGGATCGTGACTGTGAGTTAATTTTGGTTTCAAAACAACAACCTCAATCTGTTGTTGAAGATGAAGATGTATTTTAATCTAAGTGAAAAGTATTTTTATCACGAGAATGCAAAGATAATATGAATCAAAGATGCTTTTTTGTTTTGTTTTGTATTTTCATATTCCAAAAGTAATAAAATATTAATGTTGTTTCTTGATAGATCACCAGAGGGCGCTAATTTTCAATATTTTCTATAGTGTGAAAACTTTGATTTTTGTTTTAAAGATTAAAAAAAGAAAAAATCTGAAAAACAAAGAACTTTAATAACTTAAAGCTTGTGAAACTTTGATTATAATTGTAATAAATATTTAATTATTCATGCATTAATACTCGGAAATCTGGGAATTCAGCTTTAAATCAAATTAAAATGTCACATTTTCTTGTGCTGATGTTTATTTATGTTCCTCAGTGGAAATCTCACAAAATTAATAAATTAGCTTTAACTTTTGCCATCTAGTCAAATAAAAGATTTCTACAGGTTATTTTATTCACACTGAAGCTGATTCTCATAAATCATGACACCAATATAAATTCTGCTACTGCAGCAAATCTGGGGAATAATTAATATATTTTTTTTAAGTCTGGCAGCATCATGTTGGGTTTCACTGCCAGGTTAATTGATTCACCACAAAAAGACGCATCAAATTATTAAAACAGGAAACAGAAATACAAAGGATGTCATAAAATAACATTAAAATATAAAATCGTTTCTCTTCCACTGACTGAACCAAGCAGAAAAAAATTAATAAATCAACCAAAGACAATATGATACATTTCTGTTTTATCTGAAGCTTTTTAATACTGTTTAGGATACCAGTTAAAAATTACATATTTAAATCACAGAAAATAAGAATAGATATTATCAATATTAAATACTGAGAAATGATTGGGAGTCAGTCATAAAAAGAGGAAGCTAACGATTTCAGAGAACATCTAATCTTCACGATGGAGAAGATTTCTGCTGAAGAATTTTATCTTGATGAAATCAAAATTCCCCAGAAAATCCAGAAGGATAAACGATGTGAAGAAAGATCTGATCTGGAGCAGCGAACGATTCACTGATTCAGTTCACTGATTCAGTTCACTGATTCAGTTCAGGTTCCAGTTCAGTTCAGGTCCAAATACTCAGACGTCACAGCAGGAAGTCGCCCAGAAGACGATACCAACTCCAGGAAGCGACAGCCGGTCGTCATCCTTCATGCTGACAGTGGAGGTCATGAGGTCAACGGAGCCTAGAAATGAAGTCAAATCCACATTTAAATAAAACCAAGCAGCATTCAGCTTCTATGCACCACAAATCTGGAATAAACATCCAGAAAACTGCAAAACAGCCGAAACACTGAGTTCCTCTAAATCCAGACCAATAACCTGATCAGAGCTGATTTAGAAACATAATCAATGAAATGTAATAAATATCGTCAGCATGAGACGTTTGGAGATTGAACTCATCAGGATGCGATGTTTATTTCTGTTCTTCTCAATTGTTAAATGTTTCTTATTACTTCTTTGTATTTCTGTGTTGCTGAAATGCGCTAAACCAATAAAATGAATGTGAAGCTGCAGGAAATAAATGATTTAAAATGAATTTAGAATCTTGAAGGTTTTTAGACTGAGAATAAAACCTTAAAAAGTTTAACTAAATCAAACCTCTTTTGCTGATAAACTGTTGAAATGTTATTTAATATTTCTGTGTGAATTTTGACATTCTGTTTACTCTTGTTTCAGAGGCGTCCATCGTCACTCTGGTCTCGTCCTGTGCATTGTTCCTCCAGAATCTTTGTAACAGTTGGTTAAAGTGTATTTTTTGTTTTTTACAGTACATAGCTGCTCCTGCTGCTGCTGCTGCTAACAGCAGCAGAACGAAGAAAGCAATCAATCCTCCATTTTCTCTTGGAGGATTCGCAGTTGGACTCTCAGGTTGTTTGTCATCAGCTGATGGAAAGAAGAATAAAAAAAAGACAATCATTCATAGAAATATAAATGATGACAAGTCATTTACAATCCATCCTTTATCTGGATATAAAACTGATTTTCCTGGTGCATTTTTGAAAAAACATAATTACTATTAAATAATTACTTTCACATAAATAGTGGACACATTTTTACCATATTTTTACCATATTTTAACACCCTAATATATAGCCTTATATTAGTGTGTATTTGTGTGAAATAAAACAGTTCAATGTGTTTTGTAAACTCACCTCTGACTATCAGCCGACATGCTGCAGAGCCGAAGCCACAATCTGCCTGGATTTCACACAAATACAGTCCAGAGTCGTTGATCCTCAGCCTGGACACATGCAGTTTAATCCGACCGTCTTTGAGGAGTTCTTTATCACTCTGGACTCGTCCTGCAAAGCGTTGATCCTGAGACTGCGACACCTCCTCTCCACCGTGCTCATGGAACAAGACGGACACTTTTTTGTTGTCGTTTATAAATGTGAAGATCATGAACTCGAAGCTCAAGCAGGAGTCGGGTTCGGTGGTGAAGGTCCACTCCAGAGTGATGCTCTGCTTCTCCTCTGCCTGATAGCTGCTCTGTGTCACATTCACTACAAATGTTGCTGCTGAGGAGACAGAGAGGGAAAGAGAGGAGCAGACACACTGAGAACTGGAACATGGGAGTCTTTCAGCTCCATCTAGAGAGCTTTCTGTCACAAAGACAAGATGGAGACTGACCACAGAGACATGAGCTGAGGATGAGGAGCAGCAGGATGCTGGACATCATCTTCATCCTGAGAGAGGAAGAGGAGGAGAGACAGCTGAACAATGTCTCTGTTTAGATAAATCACTTCATTTTACCAATATAATATCTGAAGATGTTCATTAATGTGAGAAAAAATCCTAGAATCTACAACAGAAATATTAAACTTTCTTTAATCTCTTAGGTTAGATGTTAATCTGGCGCTGCAGAAATGTTAATTATTTAAAACCTGACATATTATTAACTGTAATTTTATAAATGTCTTGGAGGGACTTTAGGTTAATATCTAGCAGGAAAGTCTCAATAAATAATATTTCCATCCTTTTTCTGTACAACTTTCCTGTTGCCTTGTTTTTGTTTTTCACTTGTTAAGTTTTCAGTCTGAATCCTTTCAGCAGAAAACAGATTTACAGACAAAACTCATGGAAAACAGGGAAAAAAATATCAAATAATTAACGAAGGTTTTATTTTGTCTCCCTTAATGTTTAATTTATGCCTCAGTTCCAGTGCAGTTCAGCCTCTTCTTGATAATTAATAGGAGGAATAATTAAGATACCGAGACTATTAAAAGCAAAACACAACAACAAGGAACAAAACAATTACAATGAGAATATTTTAGATTCGCTTTCATAAACTTCCCCTGGATTTCCCCACGATTATTTTTATACTTTATGTTCTGCTTTAAGGAACAACCTGCTTGGGGGAAAAAGACGGGAAGGATGTCAAAGGAAAATAAAAATAAAAATATGTAAATGTGGTTTTGGTGTCAGATGACGCGTTTGGATCCGATTCTCAGCCTGTTTCCATCTTCAGTGGATCATCATGAATTAAAGCGTCTAAAACGTATTTATTTACAGTAACAGTCGATCAAAATGTGAACCGTCTGAGATGAGAACGTCTCAGGATAAAGGATTTATTTCTATTATTAAATAAACTGAACAGATATATAACTATATGTGCATAAAGAGATGGTGAAAATGTTAATTACTTTAACGTTAAATCTCTCAGGGTTATGAATAATTATGTTGTTTTTCCTGCTGCTGAAAAGAAAACAAAGCAGGGCAGGAAGAGCGACGCAGAACGAAGGTTTGTTTTGTTCCTTTAAGTTCCTCAAAGAAAACATTAAAAACCACAAACCTGGAACCTTCAGGCTTGTTGTTCGCTTCCATCCGTTTCCCTCAAGAAGCGGGAAAACAAAGTTATGAAATCTTCAACAAATCAGATTCAATTTCACTTCAGGAGGAACAAGGTTGAAGAAATGACATAAATTCACAGCTGATCTGTAAATATCAGATGCAAAAAGGTTTTAATTATTCATCCAGTTGAATTGAGATCACAAAATATTAATGCTGACAAAAACAGAAAGTAAAGATTTAAGATCAGAAGAGTAAAAATCTGATATTTACTCACATGGTTTTCGCAGGTTGCCTGATTGTTTCACGCAGACAGAAAAACAGACTGACTGACTGACTGACTGACTGACGCACCGACTGTTGTTCAGTTTCTTTCGACTTTCTGACGCAACAAGCCTCTTCCCTCAGGCTTAAAGAATCTGAACTCTTTGTTGTCTTTGAGCCAGAAGTCTCACGCGTCTGAATCTGATCAGGTTTTTATTCTCACTGAACAAAAAGAAACATGTAATGAACCTTTGACTCTGATTTTACATCTGCAGTCATGTTCATCAGAAACCTTCATCTGACTGATAATGATCCATTTGTTTATTCTAAAGAGATTTAATCCAGATTTAAATCTTGATTTAATCCAGCCAGAACTCTGTTTGTTGTTGGGAATATTGGCTGGGATTGAGCCAACACAGATTATACAATCTGAAAAGATATGTTGCATTTTACTAAAAAGGCATCAGCTCTGCAACGTCAAAAAACAAATTATATGTTCATAGAAATCATGAATTATACAAATGTGTACCCAATCAAAGAACAGATAGATTAATCAGGGATTAAGATTAGAGGATCATCACATGGATGAACAGTGAATAAAGCAGCTGCAGGTCGGGACTTTCTGAGCAAACTGTCAGAAATATTTTGGTGAGGCGGGAACCGAGTCAGAGAAGAAAACTTGTCAGACAAGTTTAACTCACAACAGCTAATTAGAAACAGTCTGACTCGTTAACCAAGGATTATCTGAGTTTATTTTTAACTGAAGCTGCGTTACAGAATCACTGGCTTAACGCAGGAACTTTCTTATTTCAAACATGTTTTATGTTGCATATTTTGAATTAAATGATGAATGATTCTTCTGTTCATCAGCAGTTAGTCATGAGGTTCTCATGTCACAGATAAACAACCTGGTTCTGTGCTGCAGCATAAATAATAGAAGATGATCAATGAGAGAAAATATGGATCATTTGAGACGTGGCTGCAGATCTCAAATGTCTTTATCGTGACTAAAATGTCATTATGTTTCTATCACTGAGGAGGTTAAGAGTCTGAAATCTAAAACATAAATAACACAATATATTTAAAACAAATATACATATGTTAGCATGTCAACACTTCCACAGAAAGAACATGAGAAAGGAAGACGAGATTTAAAACTCAAGCATTTTATTTTACAAACACAGCAAACATCTGGCAGAAAGTGCTTTTCATTTTTAGCTTATATATGCAGATAAACTTCAAACAGCCTGGAGGAACCATGAAGGTAATGTGTTCACATCAAAATATCTATCGAACCGTTTCACATTTTACCACATCACAACTCCAAACTTCTTGTTTCACTGGGATTTTATGTGTCAAACCAAAACAAAGTGGCTTATAAAGCTTTATAATACAGTCAGATCCATAATGGACCAGATTTATGGCACAAAGGTCTTGAAAATCCCTTTTATTCCGTATTTGAGTTTACGTAAAGACGGGAATATTTTAATGAAAGAGTCAGACAAGGTCCGTCTGAGGAGGAAGTGCTAGTGCCAGACTCCCCCTGCTGGTTGCATCCGGCCACTACATCAATCAAATCACACCAGACATATTTAGCCCAAACTGCCCTCAAAACATTGAAAATGTGAATAATAACATTAGCAAAAGGAGTAAATGTTCATCTGAAGGGTAAAGAAACATCCATGTCATGTGCAGTGACTCGGTTTGAGCTGCTCTGTTCAGAACAAAGGGCAGAAAGGTCAGAGTCTGGGTGTGGATCTCAAACATACCGTAAAACCTCAGCAACAACAAAGTATCCACTCAGGGGAGCTAAACACAAAACCCGGCCACACTTTTCAGATTCCTTTTTTAATTTACAACCACATGTCCCTTTGTGTTGACCTAAAACATAAAGAAAATAAAAAATTAGTATGAATATTTTTACAGGCACTAAACCTACATTAAAACTGGTTTGGTTAGATTGAAACTTGATTAATAGACTGTGGTAAACTCGATTTTTGACCAGTGTGTTTCCTTCTCCACATGAGTAAAGATGCTGCTGCTGCTGCTGCTGCTGCTATCAGCATCAGGACGACATAAAGACCGAATCTACTTCGATTTTCGGTTTGGCGTTTCAGTCTCGTTCTCTGAACCTGCAGAGGCTCAGGAGCCGCTGCAAAACACAAGAAATTAAGATTTTATGCAGTCATATTTATTTCACCAGAACTATTTTTATATCCAGGAGTGATTTAAGAGCAACAAAAATTACAGCAGAAATTATAATTACAGATGATGAGAATTGTGTATTTGAGGAAAGTGATGTAAATAATGTAAAAGAAGGATAAAAATCGTGATGAAATCTAACATTTTAAAGACAATTTCAAGCTTAAAGCAGCTAAACAAATAAATTACAATAAATTCTAAAATAAATAAAGTTTGTCTTAAAAGATATATTAGCTTTTTTTAATATAAATTAAAATAGCACAGAAAAAACATTTCACTCATTATCAGAAGCTTCATGTTTGCCCTCTGAGAAATTTCTCCTGATTTTGCTTGTGATCTCAGGTTGAAACATTTCTCTTTATATAATCAGTTGTAAAAATAAAACGGCTGATTCTCAAGTGTTGTTTTGTTTTTCACAGATGCTGATTGATCTGTTAGAGGAGCTGAAATCTGCTTACCAGATACGACCAGTTCAGCTGCTGCAGAGCTGAAGTCATCAAACGTTTTCATTTCACACAGATACAGACCAGAGTCCTCAGTCCTCAGTCCGGACACACGGAGTCTGGTCCGTCCCTCTGGGAGGACGTCTTTGTCGCTCTGGACTCGACCTACAAACTTTACATCCTGAGACATTGGCACCTCGACTCCGTCATGTTCGTGGAACAAGACTGACAATTTGTCATCGGTGATCAGAGTATAAATTATAAACTTGAACTTTATGCAGGAGTCGGGTCTGCAGGTGAAGGTCCACTCCAGAGTGATGTTCTGCTTCTCCTCTGCCTGATAGCTGCTCTGTGTCACATTCACTACAAATGTTGCTGCTGAGGAGACAGAGAGGGAAAGAGAGGAGCAGACACACTGAGAACTGGAACATGGGAGTCTTTCAGCTCCATCTAGAGAGCTTTCTGTCACAAAGACAAGATGGAGACTGACCACAGAGACATGAGCTGAGGATGAGGAGCAGCAGGATGCTGGACATCATCTTCATCCTGAGAGAGGAAGAGGAGGAGAGGCAGCAGAACGTCAATAAACATCCACAGCATCTGATGCTGATCATTATCTTACATATTCTACTTCATTACCTGCAGCTTGTCTGTAACTGAGGACATCAAACATGTTGGATCAAAGATGGAAGACATTTTGTCAAAGTGACCCTTGACCTGGAGAAGCTTGACTTTAACTCTGCTTTAAAGGGGCGGTATTATGTGTTTTCCAGGCACAAATGCAGTATATATCAAATATGATTTAAGATCAATTTTATTTCTTAATTTAACACATTAATATTTGGCCTAATATTAGTTATGCCTAATACTAATTAGGCTAATTATCATTAAGTGTGGCATTAAATAATCAAAGTAACACTCCAGGTATGTTTTTAATAAAAATGATGAGAAAAGGTCAAAAAGTTGATTTTACATATTTCTGCCCCTTTAATTCTATATATATACAGAGTTCAGTTTAAGTCAAACTTCTTTGATTCACTTATTTCCTACACTTAATAAATCCATTGTTTCTATCACACCAATTACATAAACCAGGAAGCTGTTTCTCCATCTAAAACAAAGAACCATGACCGATCGGTTCTGATTCTGTTGATAATTATCTCCTCCCTCCTGTTTATTCCTCCAACTCCAATAACATCAACTGGATTTTACATCCTATATAAATGAACAGGTGTTTCATGTATATTTAGCATCCTGATCCACACTCTGTAACAGTACATGGCGGTTATGTACATCTGAAGGAATAAGGAAATAGATCCAAAAGAAAAACAAAAACGGGGGAAATCCTGAAACTAACATGAACAGCAACATAAAACAATAATCAAAAGGAGCTTAAGCCCAAATGAATCAAATGAATTTGTTCCCTCACCAGCATTTAGTCATGTCAGGTTTTTATTTGACTTATGTGGGTTGAAAAGAAAAGCAACTTTTGAAAAAGAAGCAAACTAAAGAAATCAAATATTTTTTTTGTTCTCTTCCTGAAAGACCAAACCGTCTGGATTCCTTTCTCTGCAAATCTGAAACCGAACTTCAATCACATCCACTTTGCATGAAAGTCTCTGTGTTGAACATCAACTTTTATGTGACTGTGTCAATAAATACATGAAAGAGTTTTTACTAATTACAGAACAAGAAGTAAATAAAAGAAAAGTCTAATTTGAGAAGTTTATTAAGCAAACGTTTTACTCATTTGATCACATGAGGATTTACTTGGATTACATTTTTATAACTGATTAGATGTAACTATTTTTGCAGCTTTTACAATACTTTGTCACACTGTGTAAAACCAGCTATAATATTGGTCAAAATGATTATGAAAGCAAACAATCTTCATAAAATCAGACTATCAAAATGCAGTAAAAATGGCCAAAAGACAAGAAGTTAACATAGAAATATAAAAGCAGAATTTCAGTTGCATGTAATAAAAGACAGCAGACCTGCTCAGGTGTTTGTGTCTCTTGGAGTCCAGATGAACTCAGAGCTCCTTGCAGGTGCAGAGCTTTTCTGACTGACAGAAAATCAGGACAGTCGGGTTTTACAAACTCCTTCCTCTAAACACTCACGTAATCTTTCATGCATACGTATTCCCCGGACTGTAAAGCGCATCTCACTAGAAGCTGCATAAAAACAAAACTGGAAACGTAAATATATTGGACTGTATTCTGAAATCAAATATTTGCACCACCAAAGGTAAAAAAAAAAAAAACTCTCCTCTGGCTGTTTTGAGTGACAATATTCATTTAAAGTTTTTGTTCAAATCATAATTCCCACATTTAAAAATGCTGATTAGTGGTTCCATCTGGTTTGCTGCAGATTATAAAAATACTTTTATTGCATTTAATTGAGCCTGACAGACATCATAACCAAACACAAACGAGTTTAAAAGTTATGCAACTGGACTCAAAGCTGATAGAAAACAAATCTATTCATTTTCACTTTTCACCAGATGGTGGCGCTCTAAGATCATTGGAGGAAATCTGCTGGTCCTCCATCAAACATCTCAGATCAGTTGAAATGTTTTCATGGATGTGTGGTAACATTTCAGAACAACTGGCTGAACTGGTTAAACTGGTTAAACTGGCGCTCTCCATAAAAACAGGAATGGTTGAACGATGCTGATCATGAGGAAAATAATTTTAACGCTGTGAATGTTCCTGTCAGTGGTTTGATCACAAAGTTCCACACATCTATTGATCCATGATCAGTCGTACCTCCTGGTTGGCCGAAGTGTTTCCCTGGACATTAACGTCGTCTGCAGAGGGAGCCACGGTGTTTTTGTCACCTTGGGTTGTGACATTGCAGGTTTCTGTCACTAATAATTTAAGAGCTCTGGTCTGGTCTACCGTTGGTCTCCATACAATCCACAGGAGAATAGTTTGCGTTTCACAGGTCATTAGAAGTTGTGCTCCTTCCTGCTTTGACCAGTGGAAACCGAGCAGAACGTCTCTTTGGTCTTCGGTTCCATGGCTAAAGTTTATTCTGCCTGCTTCACATTTTTTCACATAATGCATTTTGGTTGATGCTTTTAGATTACTTTCTCTTTACTCCTTAAAAATATGTTTCTTTTCTAAAACTAAAAAAAAAAAATTAGACCTTGATTGGTGAATGATTCTATTGAAATAAGCAACAATTTCAATCGTTGCTTATTGAAATAGCAACTATTGATTTATCATGTGATTAAATGAGGTATTGTTTATCGCGACAGGCCTATGAGTGGAAAGTAAAGGAAAATACTGGCTTAGATACAAGACAGATGCTTGGGAGAGATGATGAGAGAAACTTTTACGTGGGTCCCAATCCACCGCTGAACAGAAAAAATGACAAAGACCATCATTAGTATAAAAAACAAACTTTAAGAATGAAATAGAAACAGTTTTTGCAAATCACATTTTGATCTGAAATTGAATCGATATCCAAAACATTTTCTAATATAAAATTTTTTTTAAAAAACTTCTCAAAAAAAAAAAAACTTCTCAAAAGTAAAAATAACTTCAGTATAGAATAAAATTAACAACAATAAAGTCAATGCAGCTGTATTAGCAAAAAAAAGGGAAAACATCAGGTTTCCTTTAACTTAGAAAATTCAGCAACATCTGTATTGTTCCCATCATACAGAGAACAGTATTTTCTTCCTGAATCAGAAATTCAGGGGAAAAAAATGAAAAAGTATATTAATATTTCACTTAAAAACATTTTACATGAAAGGGCAAAACTGACAGAATAAAATGAAAGTTTGGTGTTTTATTTATTTTTCTTCTCCAAGCTGCTACATTATAGAAATGTTACCCAGCCGTAATTACTCTGCTGAAATGTGCTTTACAAATAAAATTTGATCGATTGATTGATTGACTGATGGTCAGATTATGCTGTTCCTCCTGTATGAGTCTTCATGTGACCAAATAAACCACTCCTATAACAGAAACTTTTTCCACAAGTCCCACAAATGAAAGACCTCGCATCGGTATGACTTATCATGTGAGATGTTAAAGATTCTCTCCTGCTAAATTTGTTTTCACAACTCTGACATGAGAAAGGCTTCTCACCAGTGTGAATTCTCATGTGACAAACTAACATACTTTTGGTTCTGAAACGTCTTCCACATGTCACACATGAGAAAGGTTTCTCATTAGTGTGAATCTTCATGTGAACACGAAAATATCTTTGGCATTTGAAGCTTTTTCCACAGGTCACACATGTGAAAGGTTTCTCATCTGTGTGAATATTCATATGTTGGAGCAAATCATATTTTTTTGGAAGCCATTTCCACAGGTCACACATGAGAAAGGTTTCTCAGCTGTGTGAATCTTCATGTGACCACGAAAATATCTTTGGCATTTGAAGCTTTTTCCACAGGTCACACATGAGAAAGGTTTCTCATCTGTGTGAATCTTCATGTGACAACGGAAAGATGATTGGCATTTGAAGCTCTTTCCACAGGTCGCACATGAGAAAGGCTTCTCACTTGTGTGAATCTTCATGTGGCGGTGCAAATCAGATTTGAATTTGAAGCTTTTTGCACAGGTCACACATGAGAAAGGCTTCTCACCAGTGTGAATTCTCATGTGACCAACTAAAATACTTTTGATTCTGAAACGTTTTCCACATGTCACACATGAGAAAGGTTTCTCACCTGTGTGAATATTCATATGTTGGAGCAAATCGTATTTTTTTTGGAAGCCATTTCCACAGGTCACACATGAGAAAGGTTTCTCACCTGTGTGGATCTTCATGTGACGACAGAAATATGATTGGCATTTGAAGCTCTTTCCACAGGTCGGACATGAGAAAGGCTTCTCATCTGTGTGAATCTTCATGTGACAACGGAAATTTGATTGGCGTTTGAAGCTCTTTCCACAGGTTGCACATGAGAAAGGCTTTTCACCTGTGTGAATTCTCATGTGACAAAGCAAGACATTTTTTATTTTAAAGCTTTTTCCACAGGTCACACACGAGAAAGGTCTCTCATCTGTGTGAATCTTCATGTGACGACGGAAATATGATTGGCATTTGAAGCTCTTTCCACAGGTCGCACATGAGAAAGGCTTCTCACTTGTGTGAATCTTCATGTGGCGGTGCAACTCAGATTTGACTTTGAAGCTTTTTGCACAGGTCACACATGAGAAAGGCTTCTCACTTGTGTGAATTCTCATGTGACAAAGCAAGTCATTTTTTCTTTTAAAGCTTTTTCCACAGGTCACACACGAGAAAGGCTTCTCACCTGTGTGAATTCTCATGTGACAAAGCAAGACATTTTTTATTTTAAAGCTTTTTCCACAGGTCACACACGAGAAAGGTCTCTCATCTGTGTGAATTTTTATGTGACGACGGAAATATGATTGGCATTTGAAGCTCTTTCCACAGGTCGCACATGAGAAAGGCTTCTCACTTGTGTGAATCTTCATGTGGCGGTGCAACTCAGATTTGACTTTGAAGCTTTTTGCACAGGTCGCACATGAGAAAGGCTTCTCACTTGTGTGAATCTTCATGTGGCGGTGCAACTCAGATTTGACTTTGAAGCTTTTTGCACAGGTCACACATGAGAAAGGCTTCTCACTTGTGTGAATTCTCATGTGACAAAGCAAGTCATTTTTTCTTTTAAAGCTTTTTCCACAGGTCACACGCGAGAAAGGCTTCTCACCTGTGTGAATTCTCATGTGACAAATCAATTTATATTTGCGATTGTAGCTTTTTCCACAGGTCACACATGAGAAAAGTTTCTCACCTCTGTGAATTCTCATGTGACGAAGTAATTCAGACTTGCATCCGACACTTTTTCCACAAGCTGAACATGTTAGAGGGTTCTCCTCAGTGTGAATTCTCGTGTGTGTGGTCAACAAACCACTTTGAGAAAAGGCTTCATCACAGATTTTACAAGAGAATTGTTTCTGGTGTGTTTTTTGTTTTGAACTCTCAGTTCTACCGTTATGCTGTTTGGTTTTCTGATATTTCTGACGTTTCTGTTTTTCATCTCTCTTTTCTCCTGAGTCCTCAGAATTGCTTCCTTCCTGATCCTGGTTCTCATCCTCAGCAGAGCCATGAGAGATGAGTTGGTTCCTCTGTGGTTCTGTTTCATTGTGGATTATTTGCACATTAAGAGGATTCACCAAAATGTCATCAGTCTCCTGTTTCAGCACCAGATGCTCTTCATCCTGACTGATGCAGAGTTGCTTCTCTTCCTCTTTGAGCTGTTGATGTTCTGGTTCTGGTTCCAGTTTCATCTGCAGAGGTTCTGGTTCCTGTTTCATCTGCAGAGGTTCTGGTTCCTGTTTTATCTGCTGAGGTTCGGGCTCCTCTTGTTTTAAAGTGGAGTTGCCCTCCTGGTTGCTGAGGTCATTGAGAACCCCGTCCTCTTTCCACACGCAGCACTGACGGAGATCTAGACAAAAATACAAAACAAAAACTTTAAATTTTGAGCCCAATAATCAATCTTTAACTTTAATCCGTTGATGCATCTAAGTAGCTTTTTCTTGGATTATTCTAAAATGTGAATTTTTTAATTTTGTCAAATTTTATTTGTATAGTACATTTCAGCAACAAGCATTTCAAAGTGCTTCAGATCATAAAAACACAAAAAACACAAAGTCAGGTAACAGAATCACCGATTCGAATGACATTTTGTCAAATTCCATCGTCATATTTTTTGTTGATCACGTTTCGAGAGCAACTCCACACAGCTGGGTTTTCAGTCTAGATTTGAAAGCACAGATTTTTTAGGCAGAGCTGTGAAGATACTGTTGCAGTAATTAATGCGACCAAAGACAAACAGCATGGCTGAGTTTTTCTAGCTCTTTTTGAGACAGACACTAATCCTCTAATTCTGGAAATGTTCTCCAGGTGATGGAAGGCCAACTTTGTAACTGTCTCTGTGTGGCTCTGAAGGTTCAGGTCAGAGTCCAGCACTAATCCCAGATTCCAGGCCTGTAATAGTACCGGCAGTCAATTTTTTCCTTCAGTTTCTTAGTACTCCAAATGCATTTTTCTACTCAGTGTGTTGCCAGAAAAGAGCAGAGAAAATTTAATCTCATTATGGATAAATGTAGCTCACCACAAATCCACCTTTGAATAGAAAAGGATGGGGTTTTTGAAAGCCAGTTCCTCAAAAGAATGACACTTAAATGTAATTGCATTCTTCAAATATATAGAAAATATATTGCAAAATAAGAAAGTGCATACCATAAATAGCTTACTTTTAAAATGAACATTCTATTAAAAAAATACTTTTTTCAAATAAAACAAATTTCAATATTGATCCTAAATGCAAACATGGCATTTGTGGGATACCATATTTAAAAAATATGTTGGAAGCAAATCCCAAAAGCCATTTCCCCAGCCTGATATGTGATCTTAAGTAATTTACTTTGTAGATTTTAAAGTTTAGTGATGGTAGAAGGTAATAATAAAAACTGGAAGAATTTTTTCTGGACTCTAAGTTCGTTCTAACTCCTTTCTGGGTTGCAGCAATAGGAGTCTATCAGCATTATAATACAAAACATATAATATTGGTCTACATATTAGACACTGTGTTTCCCAGTTTCATTGAGTTTCAGTGCTATGAATGGCATATAACAGAACTGTCTTTGTGCCCTAAAGCGTTGTCTGCATGCGTGAAATTTCCTCATGTAAACATGGAGGAGGTCTACATGTATACATCTGATAATGATTAAGTCAGTCCCTTGCCTCACCCAATATTCCTGAGCCTCTGCCCTCCATAACCTCCCAAAGTCCAACCACTCCTCTGTTCCTGTCATTTTTATCTATTTCTTTAATTTTGTAGAACATTCATCCCATTCCGTCTCACTCGCGTTTCAAACGGTCCCACACATTGATTCCTCTAATCCGGGGCTTCTTATCCGTTTCGTGGCCCAATTTCTCCAGTCCAAAGGGACCCAGGATATAGTTAGAGATTAACCATTTAACCTCCTGACTTCTGTTCAATATGACAATCAAATCAATGGATGGTTTACCAAACAAATTACAAATTATATTATCACACAATTACATTAGAATGTGATAATCACAAGTAGATTTATTAATCATTTACACGCATGCCTGCACATAAAGCAACTTTCTGAACAGCCCAGCAATTCATTGAATGGTTCAAACTGCAACAAGAGTAAAATGAAAGATTTTGTGAGGCCTATAACCACCAGACCCTGGCGCTATCATGGCTGGGGTACAATCCCAGACATTGTGACTGGGTTTGTGAACCAGTTACCCAATGACTGGATCACACTTGAAATCTCTCGTGCATTTCATCCAGCTTCATATCATCAGTGAAGGTGAAGCTGTTTCGTACCTATCCGCCGTAGGATGATCTTCGGGATCCGGGTGAAACCCAGCAGTCTGCGCTGATCCTCCATCTCTTCCTCCATCTTGACGCTCATGTCTTCACACTCTGTGAATGTTGATATTTCAGCAGGAGTTACCAGCTGGTTGATAAACTCTCTCTGAGGCTCAACTGAACACATTTTACAGCAAATATTCACATATTGACCTAAAGCTATCGACGTGTTTCTGTCGCTGGTTTACATGTGTCCAGTAAACCAAGTTTTATAAGGATTCTTATAAAACTTCTGTTTGTGGAGCAGGAAGTGACGTTTTAAAGCCGAGCTAGCGAGCCGAACCACGTGACCGATACCGGAAGTGATTCCTCTGTTTGCAGTAGATATGGCACTAAAATGTTGCTGTTTCACCCGCGTTACATTTACTTGTTTTAGGATTTTATTTCGTGTTTGCAATTTATCTGAGCTCCTTTTTAAGACCATAAATCACATATAATGTAAAAAACCAACACAGTGGATCCGGTGTTGTAATGTCTAATGTTTTAAAAGGTTAAGATTGTTGTCCAAATGAACTTATAAACACACTGAGCCTCCTGGACTGAGTAATTATTTAGTTCTGCAGAGCTCTATATATCTTAAAGACATATTTTGCCTTGTCAAAATCAGTATTATATTGTTTAAACATATCTAGTAGGAAACTAATTTCGGCCCATTTAATGACAGAACGGCCTGCCATGTCGATGCTGATGCACTTTGTTTGCTTCAATTGTCTCGTGCATTTCCTGCAGCTTTTATCTGTTTCGCGCCTCATATCATCAGTAAACCGTGAAGCTGTTTCGTACCTATGCTGTGTAAGATGATGCTCGGCATCCGGGTGAAACCCAGCGGTCTGCGCTGATCCTCCATCTTGACGCTCATTTCTTCCAACCCTGTGAATGTTTGGTCAGCAGGAATCAACAGCTGGTTGATAAATTCTCTCTTTGGCGGAACTGAAGACATTTTACTGTAAACATCACATATTTACCTGATATTAGCGACACGTTTCTGTCCCGAGGCCCCGTAGCGTGAGGAGAAAACCAGGAAAGTTTTTGAGAAGAGAGCATGGAGGCTTTTGTTGCTGGAGCAGGATGTGACGTCAGAACCCGGTTCCTCAGTTTGCTTCCGGATCAAAGTTCATGTGGGCAAAACGCTGCTGTTTAAAAACCTTCACATTTTTTTTGTCACCTGGGTAAAACTGACATCTTAAAAACACTTTTTTGATTCTAAAGGAAAATTAAATGTTGTAACTCAAATCAATTCAGATTCATCAAAGATACTGAAGTTACTGTTCTTGTTGCAAACCTTAAAGAATCTCATCGTCCTCGAAATGGATTTTAAATGTTTTTTGAGACACTTATCCTTTTTTTCATGTTGTTGTATCATTTATGTGCACATATGTGTACATAGATGTATATATGCAGGTTTCATAATAATGCACACTTTTAAAAAAAGAATGTTGAAAAAAAGAAAGTTGCTTGAGAGAAATTATGAGAAAAAAGACTCAAGAAGCTGGAACTTTTACATGGGTCCCAATCCACTAGTGAACTGAAGAAAGACAAACCATCATTATGGTTAAAAAAAAACTTTATTATATAAAAATGATTTAGAAACAGTTTTTGCTAGTCACATTTCTATCTGAAATTGAGTCTATATCAACAATACATTTTCTAACATTCTAAATAATAAAAACCTTCTCAAACAAATACTGTTACAGATTTTTTAAAAAGTCAAATGAATGAAAAAAATAATTTCAATTTACAGTATGCTTAGCAAGAATAAAGTCGATGCAGATGTTTTAACAAAAAGGAAAATATCTCAGGTTTCATCATAACTTGGCAAAACGTAGAAACGTCAGGATTGTTGCCATCATATGATCAACAGTATGAATCAAAAACTCAAGAGTGAGTAATGAAAAAGTAAAGTATATTTAGATTCAACTTTAGAATGAACAATTTAATCTAAATATACCTACACCAACAGTTCTTTTAGTGACAGCTAACATGCATCCTCTGAACAAAATTAATGAAATAAAACAAAGTATAAGTACAAAGAAAAGACATAATAGGGTAAAAGCTTTTCAAGTCTAAATCTGAAGACATTCAAATCCATTGTTCCTTTAAGATACTGACTATTAACATCTCACTAGACAAAGAAAAAACATTAAAAATGCAGGCATAACTTTGTCAGACTTAATATCTCACTTAAAAATCACTTTAAATGAAAAGATAAAACTGACAGAATAAACTGAAAGTCTTGTGTTTTGGATAAACTTCCTATTTTAAATGCTTTTCTTCTCCAGGCAGCTATATTATAAAAATGTTACCCAAATGTAATTACTCTGCTTCCAAACTGTGAGTTATTGTGTCTTGGTATCCTCAAGTACCAAGTCACTTGAGGGTACCAAAGGTACCAAGTCACTTGAGGGTACCAAAGGTACCAAGCCACTTGAGGGTACCAAAGGTACCAAGCCACTTGAGGGTACCAAACCACTTGAGGGTACCAAAGGTACCAAACCACTTGAGGGTACCAAACCACTTGAGGGTACCAAAGGTACCAAGCCACTTGAGGGTACCAAAGGTACCAAGCCACTTGAGGGTACAAAAGGTACCAAGGCATGATAATTGAGTCGGTCCTCCCTCAAGGCATTGGTACTCACACAGGCCGTTCTTCTTTTATGAGTGTGATGAGTTAAATTACTTTTGTAACGAAAACTTTTGCCACAGGTCGCACATGAGAAAGGCCTTTCATCTGTATGAGTCTTCATGTGATCAGTTAAACTACTTTTGTAACGAAAACTTTTGCCACAGGTCGCACATGAGAAAGGCCTTTCATCTGTGTGAGTCTTCATGTGATGAGTTAAACTACGTTTACAACGGAAACTTTTGGCACAGGTCGCACATGAGAAAGGCCTTTCATCTGTATGAGTCTTCATGTGATCAGTTAAACTACGTTTACAACGGAAACTTTTGGCACAGGTCGCACATGAGAAAGGCCTTTCATCTGTATGAGTCTTCATGTGATGAGTTAAATTGATTTTACAACGGAAACTTTTGCCACAGGTTGCACATGAGAAAGACCTTTCATCTGTATGAGTCTTCATGTGAGAAATTAAATTGCTCTGATCACTGAAGCCTTTTCCACAAGTCCCACATAAAAAAGGTTTCTGACCTGTGTGAGTCCTCATGTGACCAGTTAAATTGCTTTGCCAATGGAAACGTTTTCCACAAGTCTCACAAGAAAATGCTTTCTCATTTGTATGAATCCTCATGTGAGAAGTTAAATACTGTTTCTGGATGAACCTTTTTCCACAGGTCCCACAAGTGAAAAGTTTCTCATTTGTATGTGTCCATATGTGGCCAATTAAATTTGTTTTGTCTTTGTAACTTTTTCCACAGGTCTCACATGAGAAAGGTTTCTCATCTGTATGAATTCTCATGTGTCTAGTTAAATTGCTTTGAAAATGGAAACTTTTTCCACAACTCTCACAAGAAAACGCCTTCTCATTTGTATGAATCCTCATGTGAAAAGTGAAATCATTTTTTTGACTGAACATTTTTTCACAGGTCCTACATGAGAAAGGCTTCTCACCTGTGTGAATCATCATGTGACAAAGCAAAACAGATTTCAATCGAAAGCTTTTCCCACAGGTCCCACATGAGAAAGGCTTCTCACCTGTGTGAATCCTCATGTGAACAAGTAAATGAGATTTAGTCATAAAAAATTTTCCACAGGTCACACATGAGAAAGGCTTCTCACCAGTGTGAATCATCGTGTGAACAAGTAACTTAGATTTAGTTATAAAACCTTTTCCACAAGTTTCACATGAAAAAGGCTTCTCACCTGTGTGAATCCTCATGTGAACAAGTAACTGCGATTTAGTCATAAAAACTTTTCCACAGGTCACACATGAGAAAGGCTTCTCACCTGTGTGAATCATCATGTGAACAAGTAACTGACATTTAGTTCTAAAATCTTTTCCACAGGTTTCACATGAGAAAGGTTTTTCACCTGTGTGAATCTTCATGTGAACAAGCAAATCACGTTTGGCTCGAAAGCTTTTTCCACAGGTCTCACATGGGAAAGGTTTCTCACCTGTGTGAATCATCATGTGAACAAGCAAAACAGATTTCTTTCGAAATCTTTTTCCACAGGTTTCACATGAGAAAGGCTTCTCACCTGTGTGAATCATCGTGTGAACAAGTAACTTATATTTAGTTATAAAACCTTTTCCACAGGTTTCACATGAAAAAGGCTTTTCACCTGTGTGAATCTTCATGTGAACAAGCAAATCACGTTTGGCTCGAAAGCTTTTTCCACAGGTCTCACATGAGAAAGGCTTCCCACCTGTGTGAATCCTCATGTGAATAAGTAACTGAGATTTGGTCATAAAAACTTTTCCACAGGTCACACATGAGAAAGGCTTCTCACCTGTGTGAATTCTCATGTGTGTCATCAAGGGACTGCTTTGAGAAAAGGCTTCATCACAGATTTTACAAAAATATTGTTTTTGGTCTGAATGAGCGTCCCTGTGTGTTTTTTGTTTTGAACTGACAGTTTTACCTTTCCGTTGTTTGGTTTTCTGATATCTCTGTTTCTGTTTTTCATCTCTCTCTTTTCCTGAGTCCTCAGAATTGCTTCCTTCCGGATCCTGGTTCTCATCTTCAGAAGAGATGAGTTGGTTCCTCTGTGGTTCTGTTTCATTGTAGATTCTTTGCACATTTAGAGGATTCACCAAAATGTCATCAGTCTCCTGTTTCAGCACAAGATGCTCTTCATCCTGCCTCATGCCGAGTTGCTTCTCTTCCTCTTTGAACTGTTGATGTTCTGGTCCTTCTTGCTCCTGTTTTATCTGCAAAAGTTCTGGTTCCTCTTGTTTTAAGGTGGAATTTCCCTCCTTGTTGCTGAGGTCATTTAAAATCCCGTCGTCTTTACACACAGAAAAATGTTGGCGATCTGGATAAAAACACAAAACAAAAACTTTCCATTTTGAGTAAGACAATGAATCCTTCACTTCAATCCCTTGAGGCATCTAATCAGACTTTTATTAGATTATTCTAAAAATAAATTGTTTTGTGTGAAAATCAGTAAAAATATTATTTTTATGGAGAAATTTAAAGGTGCCTTAACTCATGGGATATATAAACAAAGAAATACACGAGACTCTGACTTCCTTCTGTTCATAGCCAAACAGGAAGAGATTTTAATCTGCAGAACCAAAACATTACATTCACATCAATACAGAAATCCAAAATCTCTTGCCTTCTGACATCAGTTTTTAATACCAGCTCTACTGGTGTGCATTGAGAAGCTTCGAGCAATGGTGTTACTCCCCTTCATTTACGTAGCACTTAAATGCTACGTAAATTTTACACTGGATGTGTATTGGAAATTCCGAGAATTAGGAGTTGACTTCCTGGAATAATTTGAGACCTCTTGACTTCAACATCTGCTCCACTTCAGACGAACTATTAGTCAACTTGTTTGTTCCTTATCTGTCCAAACAGTGATCCTTTCCCAAGTCTTGGGCTCCGGCCCAGTTCCTTTGCAGGCGAGCAGGAGAAAAGTCAGGCACCAGAACTTTCCTGCACAACAGCCCAACACTAACAATTTTCTCTCTTTAATGATTGTTACTCCACATCTCTCCACATCTGAATTCCTTCCTGACTTCTAGGTCAGATTAACCCAGTTCATTTGACACAGTACATTTCTTTTAGGTAAAAACATATTTTTTAACTATTAACATAATTATATTTTGCTACAATTTCTGGGATTCAACACATAAAAGATGTTGGTAATTCTAAGTCCAGCTCCAATTTATCTTCAGATCATGAGAAAAAATGTGCTTGTGTTTTTCCCCTAATCCCTCATATGTAGATATCTCACTTTAACTCCAAGTTTGGGAAAATAACTCAACAAAACTGTTATTCTGACCAGAATGAACATAGCATTGATTTTTGGGTGAGCAGATAAAATGGCAATAGCTTAACCTAATGGCTCCCTGACAAACACAGCAGCTTGATTTGAGGCTGTTGCAGTTTCCTTAGGTCAGGGGTCACCAACACGGTGCGCAGGCACCCCAGCCCGAAGGGATCAAGTTCTAAAAACAGACATCGTCATTAGGGAGCACTGCCAAAAAAATATTTAATTAAATGTTTTTACCTTGAAATAATTGTTTATTTTTAAAAAATAAAAATATAAACAAATATATAAAATAATTTAAAATAAATTGCTTTGTGTATAAAACTCTTTTCTAGGGTTAAAGTTCAGAATTTATTGCAGACGCTTACAGGATGTTTTCAGAGGGCAGCAGCACCTGCAGCTGTACGGCTGAAAAAAGAAAATAATAATTTCTGGAATTTTTATTATTGAACCTTTTTTACTATTAACAAAATTGTGCAGAAAAAATATATATTTTGTGTCGAAACATCTTGTAAGTAGGGCACATCAGTGTGAGTCTGTGGGGGTCAAAGGGCACGCCAAAGCTCATTGGTCAGTTTGCTTTTGTTTATTTTGAATCTTAGAACTGGGGGGATTCAAACTCTGCTCATTCAGTTTTAGGGCTTCGATTAAAGTCTAGAAAGTAGATCCACCCTTATGCCGCATGGAGGTTTGAATTCAAGACATCTAAAGTGAATTACTGCCTGAAACATATTGCAGATAATTAATCGAACATTTTATTCATAGGCACATTTCTTAAGGCTCAAGGACATTTAGCTAAAATAGATAAAATCAATTAAAAGATGTGTTAGAAAAACTCATGGTCAAAAAGAATCACTGAGATAAGAGTGAATTGAAACCACCATACATGTCCATGGTAAATCTGATGTCATTTATAATAGTTAGGATGTAATAAAATATTAGTCTTGTCAAAACATAATAATACTGTTTAAACATATCTAGTAGGAAACTAATTTCAGATATAAATCAGAATGAAACTGACAGAACGACCTGCCATAGAAATGTGATGCACTTTATGGAATAATAATATTTGCTGTAATCGATCTGCCCTCTCCAAGCAGCTGTTTCTGTCTTATCAAATCATTTAATCCTGTAAAACGTTCATCCTAATTCCGACTCTCACATCGTTTCCTTTAATCCGTTTCGTGCTTTTCATCCAGCTTCATATTATCAGTGAAGGTGAAGCTGTTTCGTACCTATCCGCCGTAGGATGATCTTCGGGATCCGGGTGAAACCCAGCAGTCTGCGCTGATCCTCCATCTCTTCCTCCATCTTGACGCTCATGTCTTCACACTCTGTGAATGTTGATATTTCAGCAGGAGTTACCAGCTGGTTGATAAACTCTCTCTGAGGCTCAACTGAACACATTTTACAGCAAATATTCACATGTTGACCTGAAACTAGGGACGTGTTTCTGTCGCTGGTTTACATGTGTCCAATAAACCAGGAGGATTCTTATAAAACTTCTGTTTGTGGAGCAGGAAGTGACGTTTAAAGCCGCGCTAGCGAGCCGAACCACGTGACCGATACCGGAAGTGATTCCTCTGTTTGCAGTAGATATGGCACTAAAATGTTGCTGTTTCACCCGCGTTACATTTACTTGTTTTAGGATTTTATTGCGTGGGTTTGTAATTCATCTGAGCTCCTTTTTAAGACCATAAATTATATATAATGTAAAAAACCAACACAGTGGATCCGGTGCTGTAATGTCTAATGTTTTAAAAGGTTAAGATTGTTGTCCAAATGAACTTATAAACACACTGAGCCTCCTGGACTGAGTAATTATTTAGTTCTGCAGAGCTCTATATATCTTAAAGACATATTTTGCCTGGTCAAAATCATAATTATATTGTTTATGTTGTAAAACATTCATCCTAATTCCGTCTCTCACATTGTTTCCTTTAATCTGTTTCGTGCATTTCATCCAGTTTGTAGGTTATTACGCAATAGCCAGCCCCGCCCTAATCCTCCCAACTCCTCTGGGCTGATACTGACCAGCTCTCGGTCTAACGGGTCCGGAAAGTTCCTGAAACCTGAAACCCTGCAGAAGGTCTGAGAGGAACAATCTGTCTAAGCTGGTGTCGAGAGAGACGAGTCTAGCTCTAACTACCTACTATCCAGAAGTTATGACCCTTTTCAGCTAAGAAGCAACCAGCTGAGTAGCCCTCGCAGCATAACTCCAATAACCACTCCTGTTAACGGCAGCCCCCTCTCTAAGAATAACCAGCACTTGTTATCGGCTAGAATATTTTTAGTGACTTTATGAGTCCCAGGGTCATTATTTTATGTCAACTAAAGGAAAGTCAGAAGCCACCACTTTTCTAGAACCATGTACATAGATTTTACATTAAGTAGAAGAACCAATATTAATAAGATGACTCAATTAATTTCAATGTCCACAAATCTCATTAGAATTTTTATATATATATATATTTATTTGAGTAAGCTTTAAGCAGGGGTAAATGGCAAACAGATTAATATTCAATGATTGTAAGTTTTAAAGATTAAAATTTAAAATTTGTATAAAGTCAACATAAACCTCTCCTAACACCTCTCTCTAACATTGCCATCAATTTACTAAAAAGACTTTTTGGGTGCAGGCAACTCATACCCAGATGACAGGGGAGCTCAGCAACAGAAGTGTTAATGTTCTTGGGCAGAATCTTGTCTTGACATGACAAATCCTCATCCGAACAGGAACAAAGCAGAGTTGGTAGTTATCTTTCAAACATCCCAAATCTTCATCACTTTTGTGATCTTTGTCCAGTCCCCAAGTCCGTTGTAGTGATTCTTGAGATCTTTTGGGTTGAGTGTGGAGCTTCAGTCAAATTAGGAACCAGAGTTGTTGGGCGTCGGGTCCCGTCTTTCTTCCAGCGAAGTGCAGATTGTCCTCCCTCTGGGTCTGGGGTGAAGCTCCCTCGTTGATTCCTTGGCCCGCTGTTGCTCGTTCCACTTGCTGAAGATGAAGAACCCCCAGCTCTGTTTCTCAGTTTATTTATACTCTTTTCTTCCACAGTTGTGTATGGGGAGCAGATTACATGATTTCCCAAGCATGTGATTACCTCATACCAGACTCCTTGCCCCTCCATATTTGGTCATCAGTTGCTCCCTTTGCTCTGGTGTGATTACATTAAAGGTTCCTGGCTGATTTCCCAGAATACATTCAGACCAGGCCTCTCCTCCCATTACCAGAACATGTCGGTTTGTCTCTGCACCCAAAGATTGTCCCTATACTCTTTACTTATTTGCTTATATGCTTATACAGACATACAACTCATCAACATAATTATTTTTTATATATTTCTTCAATCATTACTTCTTAGTACTCATTACTTTTGATTCAGTGTGATTATACTTCATTGTTTAACTGGTTTATATATTTTTCAACAATCAACTTCAGAACTTACTTCATAATCATTAATACTTTGATATGATACATTTTTCCATAATCAACAAGATCACTTCAGTCTCTCAGGCCCATTATGATCTGTTTTCTGCGTGAACCTGGACAGATCTCACCTCCTCAGACCAGTTTTCACGACAAGCTTCATATTATCAGTGAAGGTGAAGCTGTTTCGTACCTATCCGCTGTAAGATGATCTTCGGGATCCGAGTGAAACCCAGCAGTCTGCGCTGATCCTCCATCTCTCCCTCCATCTTGACGCTCATGTCTTCACACCCTGAATGTTTCTTGTTACCAGCTGGTTTCTAACTGTGTCTCGACGATTTCGCTGCTGGAGCAGGATGTGACGTACAGCGTGTCTGAGTCAGGAGCTGTTTCCTCAGTTTGCTGGTTCTCTATGCAGCAGTTATGTTGAATTGATTCCAACATTTCTAGATGCATTTGGTAAATGTGAATAGGGTGCCATCTGCTGGCCAATCTGCAACATTACATCAGATTACAACAATAAAGGAAAAGTAGTTATTAATCACACATACCTTCACAAAATAGTGCAATGCACTTGATGAATTATTTTCTACTTCTGCTTGATCCTTGCAGAGCTGCAGCAACGCTTCGTCTCTCCATCGTTCACTGAGAGCCGGTTGGAGAAAACCTGGACTGGTCAGACTCAACTTTCAGCTTCAAATTGAACTCTTCTGAAAACTGCTGCACTCAAACATGTAAATTTAAACTAACCTTCGATTCAGATTCTTTCTTGACATTTGTTCCAAACATAAAATACCAGCTTTAAAACAACCACAGGCGAAACAAAGGCCTGAATACAATTACCATCTAGAAACATAAATTTAAAATGTAACATAGGAACGATAAAAAACACACAAATCAAACTTCAAGTGTCCGGGACTGCAGACACAGCAGTTCAACTCAACCTTAAAGTACAAAGATGTTTTTGAAAAGATGTTCTGTGATATTTTAGGAATAAAAGCTGACATATCCGTTAGCTTTTAGGAAGATAGTTCTACAATTTATGCATTTAAAGCACATGCCTCCTTTCACACAAACTGGACACAGGCTGACCTGGATATTTACATCAACCCCCTGTGAGAAATGATGTTTCTTTCCAGAGTTTTTGATCAAGGTAAGAGTTTAAAGCAAACCGCGTTAGCTGTGGTTGCACAGCTCTATATGAACCGCAGGCATAATTTGTGGTGGCGCTTTCATTATGTTTGATAGAAACTTTTCCCACAAGTCCCACATGAGAAAAGCTTCTCACTTGTGTGAATCTTCATGTGACAAAGCAAATCAATTTTCTTTCTGAAACTTTTTCCACAGGTCACACATGAAAAAGGCCTCTCACCTGTATGAATGATCAAGTGACGAACTAAGTTTGATTTGCGTGTGAAACTTTTTCCACAGGCTGAACATGTGAAAGGGTTCTTGTCAGTGTGAGTTTGTAATTTATATAGATTGATCACAGGCTGGAACTGTAACCTTGAGGTGAAATCAAGCTTTTGTAATCTTCTCAATGCTTCAAAAATAAAGAATTACAAATGAAAAGACACAATTTTTGCTAGTCACATTTATAACTGGAATTTAATCAATATAACCAATACATTTTCCAACATCATAAACACCAAAACAATTATCAAACAAATACAGATAAATGAAAACACATGCTCAACTAATCGTGGATTCTTTAAAGAGACAATAATTAGACTATTAAAATCTCACTAGACAAAAACAAAAAACTTTGCAAGAATTAATGTCACTTAAAAACCATTCTACATAAAAAGAAAAAAGTGAAATGATCGGCATTTTAGATGAATGTCCTATATGAGATGATTTCATATTTAAGCTGCTACACTGTGAAAATGTGATCCTGTTGTAATTACTCTGCTTTCAAACAATATCTCACTGAAAATCTTGGTACGTGAGGTTCTGTTTATGCCGTTCCACCTCTATGAGTTCCCATGTTAACACTTGGAACTTAGAAGGAAGCCTTTTCCAAAGGTTGCACATGAGAAACACCACGTGTATGAGTTGTCATGTGAACAGATAATTTGCCTTTTTGAGAGAAACCTTTTCCACATATCCCACACAAGAACGGCTTTCACCTGTATGAGTCCTGGCGTGGCTAGTTAAATGACTTTTTTGACAGAAACTTTTTCCACAAGTCCCACATGAGAAAGGATTCTCATGTGTATGAATCATCATGTGTCTGGTTAAATTACTCTTACAAAGGAAGCTTTTGCCACAAGTCCCACATGACAAATGTTTCTCACCTGTATGAGTCCTCATGTGACTAATTAAACTGCTTTTATAACGGAAATGTTTTCCACAAGTCCCACATGAGAAAGGTTTCTCATCTGTATGAATCTTCATATGACTACTTAAATGGAATTTTTGATAGAAACCTTTCCCACAAGTACTACATGAGAAAGCCTTCTCACCTGTATGAACTATCATGTGTCTAGTTAAATGTCTCTTTTGATAGAAACATTTTCCACAAGTCCCACATGAGAAAGGTTTCTCTCCTGTATGAATCTTCACATGACTACTTAAATGGAATTTTTGATAGAAACCTTTCCCACAAGTACTACATGAGAAAGCCTTCTCACCTGTATGAACTATCATGTGTCTAGCTAAACTGCTTTTACTTTGGAAACTTTTTCCACAAGTCCTGCACGAAAAAGGCCTCTCACCTGTATGAATGATCATGTGACGAACTAAGTTTGATTTGCGTGTGAAACTTTTTCCACAGGCTGAACATGTGAAAGGGTTCTTGTCAGTGTGAGTTCTCATGTGTGTGGTCAACAAACCGCTTTGAGAAAAGGCTTCATCACAGATTTGACAAGAATATAGTTTTTGTTGTAGGTGATCTTTCTTGTATTTTTTTTGTTTTGAACTTTTAGTTTTACCTTTCCGCTGCTTGGTTTTCAAATTTCTCATTTTGTTTCTGTTCTTCATCTCTCTTTTTTCCTGGGTCTTCAGAATTTCTTCCTTCCTGATTCTGGTTCTCATCCTCAGCAGAGCCATGAGAGATGAGTTGGTTCCTCTGTGGTTCTGTTTCATTGTGGATCATTAGAAAATTAAGAGGATTCACCAAAATGTGATCAGTCTCCTGATTCAGAAAAAGCTGCTCTTGATCATGACTGATGCCAAGTTGCTTCTCTTCCTCTTTGAGCTGTTGATGTTCTGGTTCTGGTTCCTGTTTTATCTCCAGAGGTTCTGTTTCCTGTTTTATCTGCAGAAGTTCTGGTTCCTGTTTTGTCTCCAGAGGTTCTGGTTCCTGTTTTATCTCCAGAGGTTCTGGTTCCTGTTTAATCTCCAGAGGTTCTGGTTCCTGTTTTATCTCCAGAGGTTCTGATTCCTGTTTTATCTGCAGAGGTTCTGGTTCCTGTTTTATCTCCAGAGGTTCTGATTCCTGTTTTATCTGCAGAGGTTCTGGTTCCTGTTTTATCTGCAGAGGTTCTGGTTCCTGTTTTATCTGCAGAGGTTCTGATTCCTGTTTTATCTGCAGAGGTTCTGGTTCCTGTTTTATCTCCAGAGGTTCTGGTTCCTGTTTAAGCTCCAGAGGTTCTGGTTCCTCTTGTTCTAAAGTGAAGTTCCCCTCCTGGTTGCTGAGGTCTTTGAAAATCCTGTTGTCTTTACACGCAGAACAATGTTGGAGATCTGGACCAAAACACAAAACACAAACTTTTAATTTTGAGTCAATGAATCTTACACTTTAGTCTCTTGACGCATCTGATCAGCCTTTTCTTTGATTAATCTAAAATTACATGTTAATATGTATGAAAATCAGTGAGAATATATTATGAACATTCTCCATATGAATGCATGGAAATTATTTAGGTAATTCTAAGCTCAGGTCAGATTTATCTTCAGACCATATGGGAAAAAATGTGCTCATGTTTTTTTTTGAGTGTTTTTTCCTGTGGATCTTCTGACCAGAATGAACTTGATGTCATTCAAAACATATTGTGGATATTCAGGTGAGCAAACAAAACGGCAACATCTGAACCTGGCGGCTCCCAGACTAATATTCCACGCAGCAGCTGTTGCAGTTACTTTAGAGTCTTACACACAGCTCTACCAACTTGGTGTGCCGAGTTTCCATGTCATTCCTCCTTTACATTAACAGCTGTTCTTTCTTACTGGAAATATAAAAAAATTAGGTTTCAAGAAGCCTCTAACGGCCTTTGCACCTCAGCATTGCTCTGGGTAGTTAAGATTCCACCTTTGCTTCACAGTAAAGAGTTGGCCGATCACCAGTTTTCCCAAAGTAAGCAAATCGAGGCCAATTTTATAGTCTACTATTTTCCAGACACCAAAAAAACATCAACCTGGCTGGGTGGTTTCAACTAATTGCTTTAAGAGTCAGTAGAGACTCCAAGTGAAGCACAACAAAAATGTGCAAAATGGAAATTATCCACAATGGTTCCCTTAAATAAAATAATTTGCTGATGCAGGAAAACTTGGATCTTTTCCGATTCTGACAGTGAGGACAAGAAAAGCCAAAGATCCAGAGAAAACAAATCTCTCCAGACTGTGTGGCTCCTCACAGCCGCATCTTTTACTAATTTCAGTTACATAGACGCAAAGGGTTAAATCCCATTTAATGACAGAACGGCCTGCCATATAAACGCTGATGCACTGTGTTTCCTTCAATCTGTCTCGTGCATTTCCTGCAGCTTTAATCCGTTTCGCGCCTAATATAATGAGTAAACCGTGAAGCTGTTTCGTACCTATGCTGTGTAAGATTATCTTCGGGATCCGGGTGAAACTCAGCGGTCTGCGCTGATCCTCCATCTTGACGCTCATTTCTTCCAACCCTGTGAATGTTTGGTCAGCAGGAATTACCAACTGGTTGATAAATTCTCTCTTTGGCGGAACTGAAGACATTTTACTGTAAACATCACATATTTACCTGATATTAGCGACACGTTTCTGTGCCGAGGCTCCGCAGCGTGAGGAGAAACCAGGAGAGTTTTTGTGAAGAGAGCACGGAGGCTTTTGTCGCTGGACAGGATGTGACGTCAGAAGCCGTACCACGTGACTGAGTCAGAACCTGGTTCCACAGTTTGCTTCCGGATCAAAGTTCATGTGAGCAAAACGCTGCTGTTTAAAAACCTTCACATTTTTTTTGTTTTAGGATTTTATTATTTTTTGCAGTTTATGGACCAAATTCTCCTGTTTCTGGAAACTTTGTTGATCTTTAATAATAAATACTTTCACACAGTGAAGATAAATCACAGCAGAAAAAACAACACTGGATACTGTGGTCTAATTTATGTTTTAAAAGAAAAATGTCTCCTCTTTGTGTTGTTTTTGTAAATGTGAATGGTAAAGAGGAGGAATTTTGTAATTGATCACAGGCTGGAACTGAAACCTCGAGATGAAATCAAGCTTTTGTAATCTTCTCAATGCTTCAAAAATAAAGAATTAAAAATAAAAAGAAACTGTTTCTGCAAGTCACATTTACAACTGAATTTAATCAATAAACCAATACATTTCTGACATAAATAGTAAAACAATTATCAAACAAATACAGATAAATGAAAAAACACATATGGGTAAAAATAAATTTTCAGTTCAGAATAAAAAACATGAATAAAGTCAATGCAGATGTTTTATCAAAACATCTCAGGTTTCAACATAACTTAGCGAAACTTCTGCCTGCTTTGTTGCCATCATAGAATCAACAGTATTTCCTCCAAAAACAGAACCTGAAGAGCAAAACATGAAAAAATAAAGCATATGCAGATACAAATTTAGAATAAAAAAATCATTACAGGTAATTAATTTGCAACCTAACAGCTAATATGCATCCTGTGACTACAATTAATGAGGTATAAGTACAACAAAGAATAGACATACAATGACTACAACAACTTTACAAGGCCACTCTCTTTTTTCATCTTTTTTGGGGGGTCTTGACGTTTTGGATTTTTCTTTTCAGGATTTAGACTGGATTAATACGGCCAACTGCTTCCAAGACATTTTGATTATCGAAGATATGGGACTCTTTTACGGACAAAAAAAGAACAGGATTAGTTGGACATTAATTATTTAAGTTTGGTTTCTGACTCAAGCCAAATAATTGGAATCTGACCTATAATTATTTTTGAGTGTTTTTTGGTTTACTGGTCTACATATCAGGATAACTATTAGTAATTCTTAATATTCTGGTTTTCTGAATAAATCATTTTACTAAAAATCTCTAAATATATTTTTGAGTTGTTGGATATTTATGTTTCTTATCAATTTAAATTATGTAACACATTTTACCTGATTTTCTGTGACAAGTTCCTCCTTCACTGTATTTGTGAGTTCCACTTTAATCAAGCCAAATTTTACAGGCTTCTCACCTGCATGAATCATCATGTGTCTCGTAAAATTGCTTTTAGATAGGAACCTTTTTTCACAAGTCCCACATGAGAAAGGCTTCTCACCTGTGTGAGTCCTCATATGACTAATTAAACTGCTTTTATAACAAAAAATTTTCCCACAAGTCCTACATGAGAAAGGCTTCTCACCTGTATGAGTTTTCATGTGACTAGAAAAATTGCTTTTATATCGGAACGTTTTTCCACAAGTCCCACATGGGAAAGGCTTCTCACCTGTGTGTGTCATCATGTGACAAATCAAACTGCTTTTTGACTAAAACTTTCCCACAAGTCCTACATGAGAAAGGATTCTCACCTGTGTGAGTCCTCATGTGGCTAATTAAACTGCTTTTATAACAAAAACTTTTCCCACAAGTCCTACATGAGAAAGGCTTCTCTCCTGTATGAATTTTCATGTGACAAGTAAAATTGCTTTTATATAGGAACCTTTTTCCACATGTCCTACATGAGAAAGCCTTCTCACCTGTATGAACTATCATGTGTCTAGCTAAACTGCTTTTACTTTGGAAACTTTTTCCACAAGTCCTGCACGAAAAAGGCCTCTCACCTGTATGAATGATCATGTGACGAACTAAGTTTGATTTGCGTGTGAAACTTTTTCCACAGGCTGAACATGTGAAAGGGTTCTTGTCAGTGTGAGTTCTCATGTGTGTGGTCAACAAACCGCTTTGAGAAAAGGCTTCATCACAGATTTGACAAGAATATAGTTTTTGTTGTAGGTGATCTTTCTTGTATTTTTTTTGTTTTGAACTTTTAGTTTTACCTTTCCGCTGCTTGGTTTTCTCAAATTTCTCATTTTGTTTCTGTTCTTCATCTCTCTTTTTTCCTGGGTCTTCAGAATTTCTTCCTTCCTGATTCTGGTTCTCATCCTCAGCAGAGCCATGAGAGATGAGTTGGTTCCTCTGTGGTTCTGTTTCATTGTGGATCATTAGAAAATTAAGAGGATTCACCAAAATGTGACCAGTCTCCTGATTCAGAAAAAGCTGCTCTTGATCATGACTGATGCCAAGTTGCTTCTCTTCCTCTTTGAGCTGTTGATGTTCTGGTTCCTGTTTTATCTCCAGAGGTTCTGGTTCCTGTTTTATCTCCAGAGGTTCTGGTTCCTGTTTTATCTCCAGAGGTTCTGGTTCCTGTTTTATCTCCAGAGGTTCTGGTTCCTGTTTTATCTCCAGAGGTTCTGGTTCCTGTTTTATCTCCAGAGGTTCTGGTTCCTGTTTAATCTCCAGAGGTTCTGGTTCCTGTTTAATCTCCAGAGGTTCTGGTTCCTGTTTTATCTCCAGAGGTTCTGGTTCCTGTTTAATCTCCAGAGGTTCTGGTTCCTGTTTAATCTCCAGAGGTTCTGGTTCCTCTTGTTCTAAAGTGAAGTTCCCCTCCTGGTTGCTGAGGTCTTTGAAAATCCTGTTGTCTTTACACGCAGAACAATGTTGGAGATCTGGACCAAAACACAAAACACAAACTTTTAATTTTGAGTCAATGAATCTTACACTTTAGTCTCTTGACGCATCTGATCAGCCTTTTCTTTGATTAATCTAAAATTATATGTTAATATGTATGAAAATCACTGAGAATATATTACGAACATTCCCATATGAATGCATGGAAATTATTTAGGTAATTCTAAGCTCAGGTCAGATTTATCTTCAGACCATATGGGAAAAAATGTGCTCATGTTTTTTTGAGTGTTTTTTCCTGTGGATCTTCTGACCAGAATGAACTTGATGTCATTCAAAACATATTGTGGACATCCAGGTGAGCAAACAAACCGGCAACATCTGAACCTGGCGGCTCCCAGACTAATATTCCACGCAGCAGCTGTTGCAGTTACTTTAGAGTCTTACACAAAGCTCTACCAACTTGGTGTGCCGAGTTTCCATGTCATTCCTCCTTTACATTAACAGCTGTTCTTTCTTACTGGAAATATAAAAAATTAGGTTTCAAGAAGCCTCTAACGGCCTTTGCACCTCAGCATTGCTCTGGGTAGTTAAGATTCCACCTTTGCTTCACAGTAAAGAGTTGGCCGATCACCAGTTTCCCAAAGTAAGCAAATCGAGGCCAATTTTATAGTCTACTATTTTCCAGACACCAAAAAACATCAACCTGGCTGGGTGGTTTCAACTAATTGCTTTAAGAGTCAGTAGAGACTCCAAGTGAAGCACAACAAAAATGTGCAAAATGGAAATTATCCACAATGGTTCCCTTAAATAAAATAATTTGCTGATGCAGGGAAACTTGGATCTTTTCCGATTCTGACAGTGAGGACAAGAAAAGCCAAAGATCCAGAGAAAACAAATCTCTCCAGACTGTGTGGCTCCTCACAGCCGCATCTTTTACTAATTTCAGTTACATAGACGCAAAGGGTTAAATCCCATTTAATGACAGAACGGCCTGCCATATAAACGCTGATGCACTGTGTTTCCTTCAATCTTCTTGTGCATTTAATCCGTTTCGCGCCTCATATCAGTAAACCGTGAAGCTGTTTCGTACCTATGCTGTGTAAGATGATCTTCGGGATCCGGGTGAAACTCAGCGGTCTGCGCTGATCCTCCATCTTGACGCTCATTTCTTCCAACCCTGTGAATGTTTGGTCAGCAGGAATTACCAACTGGTTGATAAATTCTCTCTTTGGCGGAACTGAAGACATTTACTGTAAACATCACATATTTACCTGATATTAGCGACACGTTTCTGTGCCGAGGCTCCGCAGCGTGAGGAGAAACCAGGAGAGTTTTTGTGAAGAGAGCACGGAGGCTTTTGTCGCTGGACAGGATGTGACGTCAGAAGCCGTACCACGTGACTGAGTCAGAACCTGGTTCCACAGTTTGCTTCCGGATCAAAGTTCATGTGAGCAAAACGCTGCTGTTTAAAAACCTTCACATTTTTTTTGTTTTAGGATTTTATTGCGTTTGTTTGCAGTTTATGGACCAAATTCTCCTGTTTCTGGAAACTTTGTTGATCTTTAATAATAAATACTTTCACACAGTGAAGATAAATCACAGCAGAAAAAAACAACACTGGATACTGTGGTCTAATTTATGTTTTAAAAGAAAAATGTCTCCTCTTTGTGTTGTTTTTGTAAATGTGAATGGTAAAGAGGAGGAATTTTGTAATTGATCACAGGCTGGAACTGAAACCTCGAGATGAAATCAAGCTTTTGTAATCTTCTCAATGCTTCAAAAATAAAGAATTAAAAATAAAAAGAAACTGTTTCTGCAAGTCACATTTACAACTGAAATTTAATCAATATAACCAATACATTTCTGACATAAATAGTAAAACAATTATCAAACAAATACAGATAAATGAAAAAACACATATGGGTAAAAATAAATTTTCAGTTCAGAATAAAAATAACATGAATAAAGTCAATGCAGATGTTTTATCAAAACATCTCAGGTTTCAACATAACTTAGCGAAACTTCTGCCTGCTTTGTTGCCATCATAGAATCAACAGTATTTCCTCCAAAAACAGAACCTGAAGAGCAAAACATGAAAAAATAAAGCATATGCAGATACAAATTTAGAATAAAAAAATTATTACAGGTAATTAATTTGCAACCTAACAGCTAAATATGCATCCTGTGACTACAATTAATGAGGTATAAGTACAACAAAGAATAGACATACAATGACTACAACAACTTTACAAGGCCACTCTCTTTTTTCATCTTTTTTGGGGGGTCTTGACGTTTTGGATTTTTCTTTTCAGGATTTAGACTGGATTAATACGGCCAACTGCTTCCAAGACATTTTGATTATCGAAGATATGGGACTCTTTTACGGACAAAAAAAGAACAGGATTAGTTGGACAATTAATTATTTAAGTTTGGTTTCTGACTCAAGCCAAATAATTGGAATCTGACCTATAATTATTTTTGAGTGTTTTTTGGTTTACTGGTCTACATATCAGGATAACTATTAGTAATTCTTCATATTCTGGTTTTCTGAATAAATCATTTTACTAAAAATCTCTAAATATATTTTTGAGTTGTTGGATATTTATGTTTTCTTATCAATTTAAATTATGTAACACATTTTACCTGATTTTCTGTGACAAGATCCTCCTTCACTGTATTTGTGAGTTCCACTTTAATCAAGCCAAATTTTACAGGCTTCTCACCTGCATGAATCATCATGTGTCTCGTAAAATTGCTTTTAGATAGGAACCTTTTTCACAAGTCCCACATGAGAAAGGCTTCTCACCTGTGTGAGTCCTCATATGACTAATTAAACTGCTTTTATAACAAAAACTTTTCCCACAAGTCTTACATGAGAAAGGCTTCTCACCTGTATGAGTTTTCATGTGACTAGAAAAATTGCTTTTATATCGGAACGTTTTTCCACAAGTCCCACATGGGAAAGGCTTCTCACCTGTGTGTGTCATCATGTGACAAATCAAACTGCTTTTTTGACTAAAACTTTTCCCACAAGTCCTACATGAGAAAGGATTCTCACCTGTGTGAGTCCTCATGTGGCTAATTAAACTGCTTTTATAACAAAAACTTTTCCCACAAGTCCTACATGAGAAAGGCTTCTCTCCTGTATGAATTTTCATGTGACAAGTAAAATTGCTTTTATATAGGAACCTTTTTCCACATGTCCCACATGAGAAAGGCTTCTCACCTGTATGAGTCCGTATGTGACAAATTAAACTGCCTTTTTGACAAAAACTTTTCCCACAAGTCCTACATGAGAAAGGATTGTCATCTGTGTGAATTGTCATGTGTCTAGTTAAACTGCATTTCTGATAGAAACATTTTCCACAAGTCCCACACGAGAAAGGTTTCTCTCCTGTATGAGTCCTCATATGACTAGTTAAACTGCTTTTGTGATGGAAACTTTTCCCACAACTCCTACATGAGAAGTGATTCTCATCTGTATGAATTATCATGTGTCTACTTAAATGTCTCTTTTGATAGAAACATTTTCCACAAGTCCCACACGAGAAAGGTTTCTCTCCTGTATGGGTTCTCATGTGACTAGTTAAACTTCTTTTTAGATTGAAACATTTTCCACAAGTCGCACACAAAAAAGGCTTCTCATCTGTATGAATCCTCATGTGACCAATTAAATTGATTTTTTGACAGAAACCTTTCCCACAAGTCCTACATGAGAAAGCCTTCTCACCTGTATGAACTATCATGTGTCTAGTTAAATTGCTTTTACCTTGGAAAGTTTTTCCACAAGTCCTGCACGAAAAAGGCCTCTCACCTGTATGAATGATCATGTGACGAACTAAGTTTGATTTGCGTGTGAAACTTTTTCCACAGGCTGAACATGTGAAAGGGTTCTTGTCAGTGTGAGTTCTCATGTGTGTGGTCAACAAACCACTTTGAGAAAAGGCTTCATCACAGATTTGACAAGAATATAGTTTTTGTTGTGGGTGATCTTTCTTGTATTTTTTTTGCTTTGAACTTTTAGTTTTACCTTTCCGCTGCTTGGTTTTCTCAAATTTCTCCTTTTGTTTCTGTTTTTCATCTCTCTTTTTTCCTGGGTCTTCAGAATTGCTTTCTTCCTGATCCTGGTTCTCATCCTCAGCAGAGCCATGAGAAATGAGTTGGTTCCTCTGTGGTTCTGTTTCATTGTGGATTCTTTGCACATTAAGAGGATTCACCAAAATGTAATCAGTCTCCTGTTTCAGCACAAGATGTTCTTCATCCTGACTGATGCAGAGTTGCTTCTCTTCCTCTTTGAGCTGTTGATGTTCTGGTTCTGGTTCCTGTTTTATCTCCAGAGGTTCTGGTTGCTGTTTTATCTGCAGAGGTTCTGGTTCCTGTTTTATCTGCAGAGGTTCTGATTCCTGTTTTATCTGCAGAGGTTCTGGTTCCTGTTTTATCTCCAGAGGTTCTGGTTCCTGTTTTATCTCCAGAGGTTCTGGTTCCTCTTGTTCTAAAGTGAAGTTCCCCTCCTGGTTGCTGAGGTCTTTGAAAATCCTGTTGTCTTTACACACAGAACAATGTTGGAGATCTGGACCAAAACACAAAACACAAACTTTTAATTTTGAGTCAATGAATCTTACACTTTAATCTCTTGATGCATCTAATCATCCTTTTCTTTGATTAATCTAAAATTATATGTTAATATGTATGAAAATCAGTGAGAATATATTATGAACATTCTCCATATGAATGCATGGAAATTATTTAGGTAATTCTAAGCTCAGGTCAGATTTATCTTCAGACCATATGGGAAAAATGTGGTCATGTTTTTTTTTTTTTAGTGTTTTTTCCTGTGGATCTTCTGACCAGAATGAACTTGATGTCATCCAAAACATATTGTGGATATTCAGGTGAGCAAACAAAACGGCAACATCTGAACCTGGCGGCTCCCAGACTAATATTCCACGCAGCAGCTGTTGCAGTTACTTTAGAGTCTTACACAAAGCTCTACCAACTTGATGTGCCGAGTTTCCATGTCATTCCTCCTTTACATTAACAGCTGTTCTTTCTTACTGGAAATATAAAAAATTAGGTTTCAAGAAGCCTCTAACATCCTTTGCTCTGGGTAGTTAAGATTCCACCTTTGCTTGTGGGGTTTATTTGTTGTGACACACCAAGACGTCACAAACAAATGACCCACTGAGTCAAAACTAATATCATATTCAACCCTAAATCAAAGACGTACTTGTTTGTCAAGGGTTATTTTTTAAATCATAAAGTGTTAAAACCTCCAATCAGATGGTAAAATAGCGAATTAATTATAAAAAATGGGTATCAAGATAAAGATTAGTTTGTGAGCTTTGATTGGTTCCAAACCTGCAAAATCAATGTGTGTGAAGGCCTATGAACACATGAACGGACCACACCCTCCAAGCTTTCTGTAAACTAAATGCAGCTTCGGAGCAAAGCCAGCAAAAGATAAATGTGTTTTTATCTGATGCAGTCGCCTAACTGACATTTAGCAAGGAAGTTTCAATACAATGCATTAAAAAATAATGGATGCTTTTCTGTTTGCAGCAGCCCTAAATTACCTGTGGTAAAAACGTTCACTGACCTATTTATACAGATTTTCCTGGAAGTTTAATAAAAACTACAGACAGATGGGACTTAACACTCTTTGGGTCTCAAAGTGAAATATTTGATGATCGATCATGTTATTGAAAAGCTTGACTGGCTTGTGGCTTTTATTTTAGGGCCTCTTATTTACGGATGGGTTTGTTAAAACCTCCCAGTCGTTTTCATCTAATTATTCATTTTGTAAAACATTGATCCTAATCAGGTCTCGCATATCATTTCCTTCAATCTGTCTCGTGCATTTCCTGCAGCTTTTGTCCGTTTCGCGCCTCAGATCATCAGTAAACCGTGAAGCTGTTTCGTACCTATCCGGTGCAAGATGATCTTGGGTATCCGGGTAAAATCCATCAGTCTGCGCTGATCGTCCATCTCTTCCTCCATCTTAACGTTGATTTCTTTCCACTCTGTGAATGTTTCTTCAGCAGGAGTTTCCTGCTGCTTGATAAACTCTCTGAGGCTGAACTGAAGACATTTTTACATTAAACACTCACATCTTTACCTAAAACTAGCGACGTCCTTCTCGACCAGGAGGCTTTTTGTGAAGAAAGCATCGAGGCTTTTGTTGCTGGAGCAGGATGTGACGTCAGAAGCTGTACCACGTGACTGAGTCTGAACCCGGTTCCTCAGTTTGCTTCCGGATCAAAATTCAATTTCTTGATTTAGGATTTTATTTTTGTGATGGACCAAATTCTCCTTTTCCTGAAAACGTTTTTGATATTTTCCGATAAATACTTTCATACAATTAAACCACATTAAGCATCTATTAATTCTAACATGTATTAAATTAATAAAATATCAAAACCACAGCAGAGAATGTCAAAATAAAACTCGATCATGTGGACTAATTTATGTTTAAAAGGTTAAAACATTCACTATATAGATATAGTTTTTGTGCTTCAGTGAGTAAATATTGTAACTTGTTAGTATCACCTGGGCAATACTAACTTCAGTTCAAATTCTTAAAGACACTGAAGTTACTGTTTTCCCAACACCGTCTCATGCAGTGGATGGTCAGTGTTGTCCATACTTAATTTCATGAAGAATCCTTCTTTGCATTATCATCTCCAGTCATCCCAGAACCAAGTTGTTGAGCCATTATGATGCTGCTGCTCCAGCAGAACCGATTAGGTTCTCAACATCAGACTTATAGAAGATCTGCAGCATCTGGTTGCAAAACTTAAAGAATCTCATCTTTCTCGGTTTATTCTGACCCTTCTGATAGTCTGTTTCACTAATAGCAGAAATGTTGAATTGATTCCAGCATTTTGATTCGTTTGAATAGGGCGACATCTGCTGGTCAATCTGTAACTTTGCATTAGATTACAATAATAAAGGACAAGATGTCATTAAACATTATTAATTCTAACATGTATTATATAAAATAATAAATAATAAAATAAATACAATAATAAAATTAATAAACTATCATACAGACTGTAAGTGCATCTAGTTTAGATTGGACCTTCATAAATATTGTAAATTTATCTTGCATTGCTTCCTCTATTCCTATTCCTGCCATTTCTTCTTAATATTCATTTGTGGCTCGGACTTTTGGTTCTGCTTTGACTTTTCCTCTTTGTTCCTTCGCCTTCAATATTCACTACTATCGAATATTGTGATAAAAAGTAAATTAGAATGTTATTGAGAGGTTCGTTGTTAGTGTCGTTTTAGAAATTTGTTTCTTTAGTTTGTATAATTTTATGATTGTATTTTCACTCTACTGGAACTCAGTGAGAAACTTTGCATTAACTAAAGTTTCAGTAGGTAGTGAGTGACTGTAAAAGAACAAATCAGACTGAAACACTGAGCATGTCTTCTTACTGTCCTTATTCTTGCAATAGAAAGAGCTGAGAGGAAAACCACCTTCCTTTTCTTGATAAATAACTTTTCATTCAGAAAGATAAGTTCTTTTCTTCATTTTAATTTTCAAAGTAAACTGTAAAACATATCTTACATCAAATATGAGCAGTAACATAAAACATAACTTTGCTAATCAAAATTAAGCAAACCCTAAAAGTTGATCAATGAAACCCTAAGAACATTAATATTTAGTTAAATGATTCAATGCCATCTAGGCTATATATATATATATATATATATATATATATATATATATATATATATATATATATATATATATATATATATATATATATATATATATATATATATATATATATATATATATATATATATATATATATATATATATATATATATATACATATATACATACACACACATAACTGCTTTGATGGGTTGAGTAAATACATTTCAGTTTTGCAAAATTCCACTTTTTGTCAGAAACGCCATTAAAATTGATCAGAGAAGAAGGAAATTGTCAGGATAAATAAATACACTCAGGCAGTTTCTATTCCATAAACTGATGGTGATTTGTTAGAAGAGTCTCTGGAGCCAAAAATCAAAGAGATGATTGGTGAACATCTGGAGCAGATGTGGATGGAAGATGATCAGCTCAGAGGCTGATCATAAGGTTCATCTCTTCAAAATCATTCCCGTTTATTTGTATGTCCTTTAATTCATCCATATTTCCGTTTACACCTGTAGGATTGGAAACACACTGGAGTCAATGTGGACCAACAAAACACAGAACAGGTCCATCAGAGACAGTGAACAACACCCACCTGTGCATTGTCGTCCAAAAAGTCTACAGGCCAGAATCGCAACGCCAAGCAGCAAGAAAACTAGCAGAACTGTGACAAGTATAACCATGACTATTTGACGATTTGATTTTCTGAAAGAAGACACAAAGTGTTTTTTATACAACATGTGCTGCATTTGAAATATTGCTGACAAGATGAACGTTGACTCTAATGCAGATGATCACATTTCAACCTGATTAATAACGTTTCTTGAAGTTATTGTTTTTGCAAATGCCTCCCCATAAACCAAATTTCTTCAGATCATTGATAAGGCTGCAGTCTGCATGGGGATAATGTGGCCATGGTCACAGCCCACCCACCTGGAGTAGCGGTGAGGCGAGGCTTTGTTGTGTTCAGAGATGCAGGCGTTCTCCACGAGAGGTTTTGGTCACGTTCAGGACAAACGTTACTGTAGGAGAAAACAGTTTTACCCACGATGACCGACGGAGATCAGGATTTATGAGCTGCAAGCAGAGAGTAAAATCCGCTGAGTTACCTGAAGTCTGCAGCTCCCATTTCCTCAACAGCTGGTTATAGGCAGCCAGGTCACAGCGGTAACATCCAGAGTCTTCGGTCCTCAGTCTGGACAGGTGGAGTCTGAGTCGTCCTTCTGTCCCATCACTCTGAACTCGTCCTGAAAACTGTCCATCCTGAGACTCAGCGCCACTTATCTTTCGATACAGGACTTTAGGAGGACTCAGCAGGAGAAAACAGATCATTTTGGTGAGGGTCGTGTTGGTTTGGGTCAGGTTGTCCCAGTTGAGGGTGAAGTTGTCGTCTTCTTCTGTTTCGTAAACAGATGGAGGGTTTTCGCCTGTAAATATTCCTGCAGAGAAACGTCAACTATGTTAACTGTGTCACCACAAGAAAGATGTGACTCTGAGAGCAGCAACAAGAAAAACCTGAGTTTGCATGAAATGTAGAAACTCACCCTGCACAGTGCAGGTCAGGTGAAGGAGGAAGAAGAATAAACTCATTTTCTCAGGGTCAGAAGAACAAAAACCAAAGAGACGTTTCTGCAAAACAAAGAGGAACTTTTCAGTGTTTTAGTAACAGAAAAGTTTAATTTATGGTTGTTGAATAATTGTTAGGAAGCTATCGATCTTTCAGCTATAAGAGCTAAAGCCCAAAAGGGAAAATTAATTACTAAAAAATGAATATCTCATTACATTAAAATCATGTAATTAACCAGGAATCAGAAAATGTCAATTAATTAATGATGTATAATTTCACAGGCCTTTACCACATAAAGTTCAGTTTCATTTTAACAATAAGGTCAATAATATCTTTTTCAGTAAAAAGACTGTTTACCTAATTTCTGTAAATTAATTAACTGAAAACAAATTCAAACACAGAATAAACTTTTAAAAGTAAAAATCGGCTTCGTTGCTGGATATTTTAACTATTACAGTCGGTAGCATTACTGGTTCTTATTCTCACTTCTTGATGTGTTTTGAAAGGAGAATCTTTATTTATTTACTTTATTTGTTTCCAATAAACTGATGAAAACAGGAAATGATTTTATTATTGGATCTGCTGAAACGCAGCAACAAATAAAAACCAGAGAAGTTTCTCTCAGCAGGAACAAACTCAGAACATTCATTCTCATAGTGACTCGAATAAAAAACTTTCCACTGAGTTGGAAGATGACGGTGAAATGTTGGTGTCAGATGTTTTGAATTCTCCACCTGCAGTTTGTCCAGGAACCGTCAGAGCAGTTGGTTTGTTTCTGTTTATCAGCTGTAGCCGATGTCCAAGAACTCGTGGTAACGTGATGCAAACCAGAGAAACAGGTGTGACTGTGGCTCTTCCTCTGGATTCATCGCTCTCAATTGACCTGAAATGATACCAGAACATTTGAACTTTAAACCTCATTCAGGTTAATGTTTGTTTTAGAGAACATAAAAATGAACTCTCTCAGCTTTTTACACAGATTATAAAACCGTTTAGTTGCTAATCAGGTTATTGTGAAAGAACAAGAGAGAGAAAAATGAAACTTTAGTTCAATAAAAACCATGTAGAAAGTTTAATTTAATGTATTATAGCAGTCACATTAACATATTAAACATCTTAATTATTTCACTGCATGATTATTAATTTCTGTAAATGTAGAACAAATTGGAAAGATATTAAACATAAAAAACTGAATGCCAGTGGAAACAAAGCACATTTTCGTAGAGCGCTTAAGTTCATCTTTTATTTACACATTTCTTTCCTAATTTTCTTTTTAGAACATACAGAATAATTTCTCTTAAGATGAAGAAACATTTTTCAATATTTACATCAAACAAGCATCTGAAAATCACCAAGTTTGTTTTCTACTGAACAGAAATAGCAGCGACTGCATTAAATCTGTTTTACAGTAAAATGGATTAACTCTCTGATCTGTGCGGGTGATACTGCATCAGCCACTGCTTTAAACAATAATAGTGTGACAATTAAAAATATAAAGACACAGACTGTGAAGTTTCAGATACTTACTTTGTAGTCGAGTCGTGAGCTGATCCTCCTCACTGTGATTGTTATTTTCAGTAAGAGAGACAAACAGGCAGTGACTGAGAGTGAGGAAAGTCCCATAAATTATTTCATTTTCTGCATCTGTTGCATCAGATTCACTCGTGACTGGAACCTGGGAGGAGCTTTGCTTGTGTTGACAACATGAAGGTTTAACTCTCAGGTTACAAACTGGTTTTTCTGCTCAAGTTAAATTAAACAAAGACTCAAACCTGTTAACTAAAAATGATTAAACATAAAATGAAAATGTTTTAACACCAAATACATGTGTAAAAAACATTTGAAATAAATATTTGCCAACATTGTAAAGAGTATTTTCTATTTTGTATATTTGACAGGATTATTTTGGTACAAATTAAGAACCAAAGAGTTTTTTTTTTTTTTTTGTGAAACGTTAATTAACAAGATAG